GAGTTCCATTGACAGAGAAGCATGGCGGGCTACACAGCATAGGGAACCACGCCCCATAATTTAAAGAAAATGATAAATAAAAATTCACCTTGCAAAAAAAAAAAATTCACCTTGCAATGCAGGGGGACATGGGATCAATCCCTGGTTGAGGAACAAAGATCCCACATACCACGGGACAACTAAGCCCAAAGGTCACAACTAGAGAGTCCATAAGCCACAACAAAAGAAGCCACATGACATGAAGAAGATCCCTGGTGCTGCAGCTAAGACCCCACACAGCCAAATTAAATAATTTTTTTTTTTTTAAAGTTCATTTCTCAGGTTTGTAAAACACTGCTGAAGTTTAAGCCTAGTTTGGGCAGAAGGGTATTCAGCTGGGAGCTGGAGTCACTTGTGGTTTAAAGGGCCTTTAAGGAGATCATTAACATGAAAGTCCCATTGGAAATACCTGGGTGAGCCAGGCAAGGACACAGTTCATCTCCTGCTGCAGGGGACTGCACCCATTGCAGAGGTCAGGCCTGGAAACATCTGGGCCCGACACTCCACAGTTCCTCGCAATTGCCCCACACTCTCTTGGGCTTCCCTGGTAGCTTAGATGGTTAAAGAATCTGCCCACAATGCAGGAGACCCAGGTTCAATTTCTGGGTCCGGAAGATACCCTGGAGAAAGGACTGGCACCCCATTCCAGTATGCTTGCCTGGAGAATCCTTATGGACAGAGGAACCTGGCAGGCTACAGTCCACGGGGTCACAAAGTCAGACACAACAGAACAACTAACACACACACACACCCTTGGGGAGGAAAGAAAACACTACAACTAGAGAAATGGTGAGCTGGCTGTGTTGCCCTTGAAGGCTTAGGCCCGTCTGCCCTCCCTGGAAGGGCTCCTCACTCACAGTGGAGAAGGACCATCACCCCATCACAGAGCCAAGGACTTGGGAGGTCCCTTGCACCTCAGGTGGCCGGTGTCCACTGGAAATCATGGGGTAGACCCTCTGGTCTCCCTTGGCCTTCAGTCCGGCATGTCCCGGTGGACCATACTTCAATTCCCTGCTAGCGCTCACAGACCTCCTCAACTCAGGGGAGCCGAGAGGGCCCAGTGGAATAGTAAAATGAGAAGTGAAGACAGGGAGAGGCTTGTGCAACTTGTCTGCCTCTTGCAAAACATTTGTTTCTCCTTAAAGCTCAAGTTTTTAGCTTTAGACTGGAGAAGGGGGCAGCGGGAGTTGGGGGAAGGTGGTGGAGGAAGCAGACCCAGGACATATTCTGCCTGACAATGTGGGTAGATGTATCCTGTGTGTTCATCCCAGTTTTTTAATCACAAGCCTGGGGAGGATCTGTTTGCGTTTCATCACAGCTGAAAGACCTGGATGGCAGTGAAATAGTCTGTAGGTGAGGGTGGTAGTAAATATTAGCCCTGCTTCCTTTCGTTGTGAAAAGCAAATGAAACTCTGCATGAGGAAGTGCTCTGTAAGCCATCCAGAGCTGTATAACTGGGAACTATTGATCATAATCTATGAAGGCACATGGTTTAAAGGAAAGAGTTCTGGTTTGGCTGTTAGAAGATCTTGGTTCACTGACTCACAAGCTTTGTGACGTTGGACAAGTTTTTCCACTTTTCAGGGCTTAGTTTGGTGGTGTTTTGTGGGAGGCTGGGGAGAGGGTCCATTCATAAAAATGCGGCTAGCCTCTGCCCTACTTAACCTAGAGGGCTGTGACTGTATCAAGAGAGAAAACATGAGAAGTTCTTTGTGAACCGAAAAGAGACTGCCGGAAATTGGTCCCATAGATGTCTCATGGTTGTTCCATCCAAATAAAAATAATTCATTATCAGATTTCCCTGGTGGCACAGTGGATGGGAACCTGCCTGTAAATGCAGGAGACATGGGTTCGATCCCTGGTCCGGGATGATTCCACCTGCTGCGGAGCAACTAAGCCAGTGCGCCACAACTACTGAAGCCTGTATGCTCCAGGGCCCGAGAGCCACAGCTAACAAGCCCTTGTGCTTCAGCTACTGAAGCCTGCACACCCTAGAGCCAGCAAGCTGAAACCACTGAGCTCACACGCCTAATGCCTGTGCTCCGCAACAAGAAAACTCAACCACTGCAGTGAAGACCCAGCGCAGCCAAAAGAAAAAAAAAAAAAAACTTCATTATCTTTTCCCCACAAACCGCTCCTTTCCCAGGATTTTTAGTTTGGAATGACCACTGCTTAAAGAACATAAAAAAAGCATATTCATTGTCTCCAAACAACCATCAACTGAGGCTGATTCAGGAAGTACAAACCAAGGACCACACCTGTGGAGACTTCCCACGCTTTGTACAATACTCACATTTAGTAATTGTATCATCTCCTGTTTTTCTACAGTGGTTAGCAGTGAGAGAAACCAGGAGCAGGCCTAGGCTACTCCTCTCTCCAGGGAGTCTTTTTTTTTGGCTGTGTCTCTAGTTGAGGCATGCGGGTATAGTTGCCCCTAGTTGACACATGCAGGTATAATTGCCCTGTGGCATCTGGGATCTTAGTTCCTGACCAGGGATTGAACCCATGTCCCCTGCATTGGAAGGTGAATTCTTAACCACTGGATCACAGGGAAGTCCCCTCACCAGGGAATCTTGCCAGAGGCTTTCTGTGTTCTGTTCAGGGCCTTTCCTTCCTCCTTTAGTATCCACCCTCATCTACTCCACTACCCTGGGGCTCTCTGCTTCATAAGAGGAGATATAGGCTCCCTGACAAATGGCCTTCCTATTACCTGCTAAAACAAGAACACATACCCACTTTCTGTATGGAGGATCTTTGCTGTTAATCACTATGGTTAACAGATAGGAGAGGGAGACTAAAATATCAAAAAATGAGGGTTACAAGGCTGACAAAGTTTATACTAGTGAGCCCTCATTCCTAACTCACTCTGAGGTGGTAAATGAAAATCTCTTTGGCTTTTGTTCTCAACTTTCATTCCTGAAAGCTGTACTTCTCTCAACCAGCACCCTCCCGCCTCCCCTTAGGCTTTGGGATCCTGTGGGCAAGTACCTGTCAGCGTTCTCTCCGGTGTCCCAGTGGTTAGCACAGAGCCTGAGCACACACTGATCACTTACCACGTGCCGAGTACAGTATGAAGGCTTTACGTGGATGATCTCACTCTCTCCTCAGATGATCCCTTGAAGTATTACTACACCCTGGTACTACTATTCCCCATTTGAGAGAACGGAAACAGGCACAGAGAGGTAAAGGAAGTCGTCGAAGGACACGCAGCTGTTAACTTTAACTGGCAGAGCTGGGATTCAGCCCCAGGCAGTCTGACTCCAGAGCCCATACTCTTAAAGCACTATGCTGTGCTGTGCTGAGTTGCTCAGTCATGTCCAACTCTTTGCAAACCCAAGGACTGTAGCCTGCCAGGCTTCTCTCGCCATGAGAATTCTACAGGCAAGAATACTAGAATAGGTTGCCACACCCTTCTCCGGGGGATCTTCCCAACCAAGGGATTGAACCCAGGTCTCCCGAATTGCAGACGGGTTCTTTACTGTCTGGGCCACCAGGGAAGCCCCAAAGCACTATGCTGGAGACATTTAAATATTTGTTGAATATATCAAACAAACTTATACCCACTTCCCCTCCCATGTCAATCTTTTCCTGTTTCTCTATAACATCCCTTGCTCACCTCAGTTCTCTGAATTCCCTGGCCCAAACTCTCGAGTATTCCTTACAGTTTACAGCAGCTTCTTAACTGTTCTTCACTGGACCAGTGGTTTTTAACCTTCTTTCAGTCTTAGAGCCTATGGAGAATTTGACTGATGAAAGCTATGTATATTTCCCCAGATTAATAACCACATACACAAAAATGTCATGTGTAATGGGGGAGAAGCAAGGAGCACACATCACCTTAAATCCATCCAGGAGCCCTCAGGTTCCCTTTCTATTATTAGGGGTGGTGGTGGTGGGAGTGTGAAAGTGGAAACCCCTCTGCAGGACTAACCAGACCAGGTTCTTCTTTCTAGACTCATCTCCAGTCATATACCCCAAGTTTAGCTAGCGCGTACAGGGCAAGTACTTTCGCATCTGCTTTTGAAGTTCTTGCTACTTAGAAAACTCTTCCCCTCCCCTCCAACCTGGCGCAGTTTTCACCAACGTCCAACTCAAACGTTGCCTCTTAGATGCCTTCCCTCACACCGAAATACCCCCAACCTGTCGGAGAAACTCCCTCGCCTGTGGGCCTGTAACACTGTTTATACCTTCAATAGCACTGACCACGTTATCTCAGTGGCTAAGATGCCTCTCGCCTCACTGTGTGCTCCTCCAAAGCACGGATGGCGTGTCAATCATCACTGTATCCTCGACGTTCTAGAACGCGCGTGACACCCACAATGTTTATTAAACTCGTTTTTGGGTAGCTCGGCTCAGTCAGCGACCGGCAAGTTCACTACAGGTTTGGAGAAGACAAATACGCTTAGGAGAGAGCCGAGCGATCCAAGTCCTTTACGTGGTGAATCAGCCAGAGGAAGAATAAGCATGAAGCCTGGCTCTGGGAACGAAGGGAACCGCTTGCGCACACGAGTCAGTAAGCCTCAGCAAGAAGACCTGAGGCTCAGGGTCACGAGAAAGGGAGCCGCAAGGCATGCTGGGATCTACGGATGCACGGCCGCATGGCACGCCGGGACTTGTAGTCCGCCCCCGCCCAGGCCCCTCAGACCCGTTATATTTGGCTACATTCAATCACGTCTTTACACAGATAAGGTGCAGTATTGATCGTTCAGCACAGAATGAAGGGTCTTCTCAAGCCAAGTTACCAATTAGCACTTTTTAGAGTAAATACCTTTTCGGCGTCAGCGACCGAGAAAGCGCACTCGGTGCGGATGCGCACGCGCAACGCTCATAGTTCTCCCCACCTCCCCTCTCGAGTGACAGTAGCAAGCCCCGCCCCCGGAAGCGCCGGCCCTGCGCGCGTGCGTCGTCCTCGTGAGGCTGCCTTGAGCCGGGTGGCGCAGGCGCAGTGTCCCCGGGCCAAGATGGCGGCGCGGTGCTCTACACGCTGGTTGCTGGTGGCTGTGGGGACCCCGCGGCTGCCGGCTGCAGCGGGGAGAGGGGCCAGGCCACCCATTCGGGGCGTGGTAGGGGCGTCGCTGGGACGCAATTTGAGCGTCACCGCCTTCCCGCCTTCCCTGGGAGGTCGCGGTCCCGGGGCGCTGCTGACATTGAGACCCGGTGTCAGCTTCACAGGTGAGGGCAGGCTCTAGCGCCCAAGGCCTGGAAAGGAGTGACTCGCTTGGCTCTAGCTACGGGGGTAGCGGGGTGGAGTGTGTCTTCTGACCTAAGTGCGGAACCGCTCGGGGGAGGTGGGCCGGCAGGAGGCGGAGAGGCCCAAATGGCTGCTCAGAAGCGGTGAAGGAGGAAGAGCTGCGTGGAGTCTCGAGCGGAGGGGACGAAACGCCCCGAGGCCGTGAACCTTCTCTCTGGCAGCATTTCTGGAGACTTCTTTCCCGCCATCTACTGCTCCCCTGCCCAATTCCTTTCTCATCCCGCTTCTTCCTGGCCTGTAGCGGCGGGGCAGAGGGAACTGCCATTCGGTGAGCACCTGCTCTTGGGCTCGGTGGGCACTGTGTACCCATCTCACTTGATGGTAACAGCCCTACAAGGTGGGGATGATCATCCCCATTTTAAAGAGTGGGAAACTGAGGTTCTAGCAGAGTTGACCCGCCCAAGGTCATAAAGTTAGATAAGGAGAGCTGTCCCGAACCTAGAGTTGTTCTTTCAGAGCTTAGTCTCTTTCTGCCACATGGTGTAAATCGAAGGGCACACTGTTTTTTAGAGGTCTTCATGTTGGTTATTGGGCTTCCCTGGAGGCTCAGGGCGGTAGAGAATCTGGCCTGCCAGTGCAGGAGACGCAGGTTCTATCCCTGGGTCGGGAAGATCCCCTGTAGAAGGAAATGGCACCCCACTCCGTTATTCCTACCTGGGAAATTCCATGGACAGAGCCTGACGGGCTACCTTGGGGTCGCGAATAGTTGGACACGTTAGGAAATGAACACGTGTGTTGCTTATTGCAATAAAAATGCAAACTAATATTTACTAAGCACTTCCTATGTATGAGGTATGGATTATTTCTGTGAGGTAGACACTTAACTATTATTTGGCCAAGCTGGTGGTCTTGTGGGATGTTAGTTCCCCAACCAGGGATGGAGCTGGGCCCCTGCAGTGAAAGTGAGAACTCCTAACTACTGGACTGCCAGGGAATTCCCACTATTGTTCTGTTTTATAGGTTAAGAAACTGAGTCTTAGATGTTAACCTGTATAATGTCACAAAACTGGAAAGTGCTGCTTATTCCGTAATTGATGGGGGTGATGTTGGATTAACATATATTAAGCTTTTTAAGTGCTTAGCCATAGTGGTTTCTTAGGCTGTGTGTTTGGGCAATTTCCCTTACAGTGAGATAAAGGAGGAGGAGCCATTGAACCACTAATTATGGTGCCTGAATTGTGCTAGGTGTTTGTGTCCCCTAGAATTTGTGCAAATGCTATTTTTATCTATAAACTTACAGAGATGATTAACTAGAGGGTCCTCACAAGGTAATTTACTTAAAGATAATGTCCTAGTAATATCGAGTTTTGTAATGCTTAACATAAAAGCCAGTCATTATGTATCAGTAATTGTGATTGCCTTGTACAGTGAACACTGGTTCCAGTAGAGTGTGTGTGTGTGTGTGTGTGTGTGAGAGAGAGAAAGAGACCTGGGTGGATTATTTAAATTCTTTTGTACTTCCCTTTCTTTAATTGAAAATATTTTAATTTACAGGTATTTATTGAGGACTTGTCATATGCCAGATTCTGTGCTAGGTACTGGGGATACAGCAGAGAACAAAGAGACGGGATGTGATTTTGGTCAGGTGATCCCATTTGTTTATTCTGTTCCTGCCACCTATATTTCCTCACAGTAGTCTGCCCTGGTTTCCTTGGGATTTGGAAACGATGTCATGCTGTATTTCTCAATATGAGCAAAAGTGGTCATTTTTAGGTTTTACCAGTGTTTTCTAATGTCAAGGTTGTTGTGAATAGCATTTGCCTGCATCTTTATGTTCAAATATTGGGGCTTCCCTGGTGGCTCAGAGGTTAAAGCGTTGCCTGCGATGCGGGATACCTGGGTTCAATCCCTGGGTCGGGAAGATCCACTAGAGAAGGACATGGCAACCCACTGCAGTATTCTTGCCTGGAGAATCCCGTGGACGGAGGATCCTGGTGGGCTACAGTCTATGGGGTCGCAAAGGGTCGGACATGACTGAGTGCCTTCGCTTTCACTTTATGCTCAAATATAATTCCTTAGATATCTATCAAGGTAAATTTGTTCATATCACACATGTACATATTTGGGGAACATTTTTTGGTGATTGTGTATGTGTGAAAGGAGACAGACAAGCACTAAATACTGAGCCTGGCGTGGGGTGATTACTGAGGAACTACGCAGTCAACTGTCCTTTTCCCCAAGTGAGCCCAGTGCCCCCAGTGGGCATGTTTTGTATCAGGTCTTTAACATATGTGAGAGCGTCCTTCACTGTCCCCTACCACATCTTAGGGCATCAACTCAGCTCCCAAACGTTGGTCTGTGATCTCATTGCAAATCCAGTAGTACAATTAAAAGATGTAAAAACAACACTTTAAATCTGACTTTTTCTCCCAGAGTGGAAGAAATTGCACTCATCTCACACACTAGCAAAGTAATTCTCAAAATTCTCCAAGCCAGGCTCCAACAGTACGTGAATCACAAACTTCCAGATAGATGTTCAAGCTGGATTTAGAAAAGGCAAAGGAACCAGAGGTCAAATTGCCAATGTCCGTTGGATCATTGAAAAAGCGAGAGAGTTCCAGAGAAACACATACTTATGCCTTATTGACCGTGCCAGAACCTTTGACTGTGTGGATCACAACAAACTGGAAAATTCTTAAAGAGATGGGAATACTAGACCACCTGACCTGCCCTCTAAGAAATATGTATGCAGGTTGGGAAGCAACAATTAGAACTGGACGTGGAACAACAGACTGGTTCCAAATCAGGAAAGGAGTAGTTCCAGGCTGTATATTGTCACCCTGCTTATTTAACTTATATGCAGAATACATCATGAGAAATGCTGGACAGGATGAAGCACAAGCTGGAATCAAGATTACTGGGAGAAATATCCTCAGATATGCAGATGACCTTGTGGTGGAAAGCGAAGATCTAAAGAGCCTGTTGATGAAAGTGAAAGAGGAGAGTGAAAAAGTTGGCTTCAAACTCAACATTCAGAAAACTAAGATCATGGCATCTGGTCCCATCAGTTCATGGGAAATAGATGGGGAAACAGTGGCTGACTTTATCTTTTTGGCTCCAAAATCACTCAGTGGTGACTGCAGCCATGAAATTAAAAGATGCTTGCTCCTTGGAAGAAAAGTTATGACTAACCTAGACAGCATATTAAAAAGCACAGACGTTACTTTGCCAGCAAAGGTCCGTCTAGTCAAAGCTATGGTTTTTCCAGTAGTCATGTATGGATGTGAGAGTTGGGCTATAAATATAAAGAAAGCTGAGTGTCAAAGAATTGATGCTTTTGAACTCTGGTGTCGGAGAAGACTCTTGAGAGTCCCTTGAACAGCAAGGAGATCCAGCCAGTCCATCCTAAAGGAAATCAATCCTGAATATTCATTGGAAGGACTGATGCTGAAGCTGAAACTCCAATACTTTGGCCACCTGATGCAAAGAACTGATGTTGGAAAAGACCCTGATGCTGGGAAAGATTGAAGGTGGGAGGGGAAGGGGACAACAGAGGGTAAGATAGTTGGATGGCATCACCAACTCAATGGACATGAGTTGAGGAAATTCCAGGAGTTTGTGATGGACAGGAAGGCCTGGCGTGCTGCAGCCCATGGGGTTGCAAAGAGTCAGACACAACTGAGAGACTGAACTGCACTGACCATTTCCTACTTATTCTCATGTCTGATTATCCTTAATCTTGGCACCCTTCCTGGATATGGTCAATACCCTTGGCTGTCTTTTGTGTCTACACAGATTTTAGTAGTTTACCAGTCCTGGTTATGGTTTGAGAGTTCTTTCTCATGCAAATCTGATCACGTCTCTGTTTAACACTTGCAGTAGCTCCCTGTTATCCTCAGGATAAAATCCAGACTCTAGCATCACTGACTCAATGGATGTGAGTTTGAGCACACTTGGGGAGATAGTGAAGGATAGGGAAGACTGGTGTGCTGCAGTCCATGGGGTCACAAAAAGTCGGACACGCTTTAACCAGTGAACAGCAACAACTAACATACTCAGAGGCCCTTCTGTTTATTCCCAGCACCTATCATTATCATCTCTAACCACCCCTCTACCCTACACACCCCGCCACACACACTTAGTTTAGTCTCTAGTTACATCATAGCTCCTGCAGTTGCACAAGGACTTTCTCCCTCCAAACCAAAGGTGATCATAGGATGTAACTGCCAAAGGGAGCCCTTTTGAAAGCGAATGAGGATGCTATTGCAAACAGTGCTGGGACTGCAGGCGTAAATCTGGACAGATTCCAACCCTCCTTAGCCAAGTTAATTTCTGCAGTTTAACAGCAGCTGCCTTAGAAGACCTTCACTGAAACTTTTGAGACTGGGTTATGCTGGTTTTCAGCTGCGGGTGATTCTGCCTTCCAGGGGCCATCTGGCAATGTCTGGAATTTTAGTTACCTGTTTGAGAGTGGGAGGGGCTTCTGGTAACTAGATAGCCAGGGATCCTGCTAACACATCCTCCAGTAAGCACATAGGCATGTTAGGATACAAATAAATACACAGGGCTGCAATAAGAAAGTACCAGAGAATAAGTGGCTTAAAAAGATAGGTTACTTTTTCACAGTTCTGGAGGTTGTAATCTGAGACTTGTCAGGGTCCTCTTTAAAGATCCCCATTTCCAAATACAGTCAGGTTCTGAGGCACTGAGGGTTAGGACTTCAGCATGTGAATTTGGGCGGGGGACACAATTCAGCCCTTAACAGCCCCCCCCCCCAAACCCAGCAGGGAATGTGATGCTCCTGTCTTCAGCAGTGTGGGGGTTGAGGGGCCCTGGTTAGCTGATACCGCTGTGTGCTCTCACTCTGCGTCCCTGTGCACTAACATCCCTTCTCACACTGCTCCCACACGCCCCTGCTGGGTTGGAAGCTCGTTGACGGCGCTGGCTCTGAGTCTTACTGTCTGTGTCCTCATTGCCTAGTCCAGTGTTGAGGTCATGAATGAACGCAAGCTCCCGGAGGGCATGATTTGCTGCTGTGTCTGCTGCAAGGAGCCCAGTGCCTGGCTGGCGTGTTTGCTGAATGAATGAGTGGTGAATCCAGTAGTTTCTCTCTGGTAGGGGAACCTTTCACTTAGAAACCTGGAGCTGCCTCCTGGTCCTCATTCTCTTTCTTGGCCCTCCCCTCCCCTCCGCCTTAATTTGGCCTGTTCCGCTCCCCTCCCAGCCCCGCCTTCCCCATCTTCAGTTGTCACAGGATGGGTTGGCAGATGTTCAGGGTTGCACGGTGGCGGGAGAGAACCTGGGGAGCTGTTAAGTGTTAAGTGAGACGAGGTCTCTGCTAGCACCTGGGATGTGGCAGGTGCTCGGCTGGCCGTATAACAGGAGAGTGAAGTTGCTTTTCGGTCATCCGTAGGTGCAGCCCCCTTCCCTGGAGAGGTAATGAGGCTGCAGCCTCTGTGTAGTCCAGCAGAACTAGCCACACGCTGCACTCGATGGTTTTTGTATTTTCCGTGTACACTGTGTTTAGCCATTTTTGGTTTTGTTTCTGGCTGCGCCGGGTCTCCACTGCTACACGCAGGATTCTCCTTGCAGTGGCTTCTCGTTGTGGAGCACAGATCCTAGAGCACATGGGCTCAGTAGCTGTGGCTCACAGGCTTAGTTGCCCCAAGGCCTGTGGGATCTTCCCTGACCAGGTATCAAACCCGTGTCCTCTGCGCTGTCAGGTGGATTCTTACCCACTGGACCACCAGGGAAGTCCCTTTAGCTGTTTCTGAGGTGCAGTGAGTTTGTTCTCCAGGAGGCTTGGAGGAGAACAGCCTCCAAAAGCTGTGACCTACCTCTGCTTCTTCATAGGTGTGGCCTGACTGGTTGCTTACTCACAATTTCCATTTGTTGAGTAGGTTCCCAGAGTGATTTTCTTTCCTTTTTTCTTTTTCAGGAGTAAAACGGTACCCTTTTGTTTGTACTGCCTCTTTCCACACGAGCACCCATTTGGCTAAAGAAGATTATTACCAGATATTAGGAGTGCCCCGGAGCGCCAGCCAGAAGGAGATCAAGAAAGCATATTACCAGGTCTGTGTGGAAGCCAGATTTTAGAGCAGAGACTGTAGAAAGGATGGTGTGGATCTAGGGTGACCTTGAGCTGTGCAGTGTGTGTGCCCATATGTATGGGTTGTGTGCAGCCGGCAGCGTGGGCTGAAAAAGCTGGCTTTGCTGGACCATGTTCCTCAGTGCCTGAGGTTATTGCTTCAGGAAAAGGAGACTCAGAACCAGAGATTTTTAAAAATCTTTTCCCATGGCTGTTTTTGTATTTAAATCTATTCTGTGTCTTCCGAATTGGTAGATGTGCTGGTCTAAGTTTTAGGTACTCATTCTTTGCATTCAGATAAAAGTTTATGAATTTAGATTTTTTTTTTTTAACTCAAAAAGTGTGAAACTCCCATCGTCATATCCCAGGATGTGTTGGGCTGATTGATGAAGTGGCCTGTGAGTTATCTCGACTGTGGTTTCCAGACTTTTGCTCTGATCAACACAATAAAAATAGTTAAAAAACTAAAGAGCAAGGGTGCCAATGTAGGAGTGCTAGCTTTTGTATTTTGCTTAATACAGATGTTAAAAATCATTAGGTACAATCTGTTAATATCTTTTGATGGAAGAAAGAGCACCTTAATACTGTAAAACATAGGGAAGCCATAATGTCAGAATAAGCAAGATTAGTTTAATAAGGTTAATAAATACAATTTAAATTTTAAAAGTTATTTGGAGTTCCCTGGTGTTCTGGCAGTTGGAATTCCAAGCTTTCACTGCCATGGCCTGGGTTCAGTCCCTGCTCGGGGATCTGAGATCCCACAAGCTGTGCGCAGTGTGGCCAGAAAAGAAGAAAAGTTTTAAAAATTTTGTGTAAAATTTTCTTTGAGTCTTGATTTTTTTTTCTTTCCTTTTTTTTTTAAATTTTTTTGGTGGGGAAATAAAAACTTTGGCTAAGCCTAATATTATGAACCAAGTACTGATCAAGACCAAACGTAACAGCTTATGTCTTGAGTAGCTATTCTCTCTTCTCTCTCTCTCTTTTTTTAATGGGTAGAACTCACTGGTCTTTAGTTTATTCAAAGAGTTGTATAAGCATCACTGTGATCAATTTGACAATATTTTCAGCACCTCAAAAAGAAACCTCACACCATAAGCCCTTATTCCCCATTCTGCTCTCTCTCCTGCCTTTTTTTTTTCCTCTCTTTTTTTTTTTCTCTCCTGCCTTTGAAATCGCTAACCTACTTCCTGTCTCTAGGGATTTGCCTATTCTGGACACTTCATAGAAATGAATCATGTAATATGTAGACTCCTGTGACTTTTTTTTTTAACTTTAGAATAATGTTCACCAGGTTCATCCATGTTGTAACAGGTAGCAGTACTTCATTCCTTTTAGTGGTCAAATATTCTGTTGCCTGGGTGTATACTACGTTTTATTTATCTGTTCATCAGTTGATGGATATCGATTCTTCACACCTTCTCAAACATTTATTTGTAGACTTTTTGATGATGGCCATTCTGACCAGTGTGTCATGAACCTTATTTAATTGTTGTTGTTTTTTTTTTTCAATGCCAGAACATTTGTTGCATGACTACTCCTTGAAATCCTTAAGATGAACTGGATGCTGCAACAGCTGCTCGATTGGGGTTAGGTGGTGTTCCTTCACGGAATCCATGCCTGAGTCTGTGGTATACAATTTTTAGGTGCCTCATTCGACCAGTCCTGGTGGTATTTCGTCTTTTAGGTTTAGCACTCCAATTATACTTTCTCTTTCACTTGGCAGGGTAGCCACACTTGCCACAGGTTGACTTCTGAAGGTGGTAGGCCTTAGAGCCACAGCGGCAACAGAGCATGTGTGTCTCATTCCGTCGCTTTCCAAACAATGACGTTCCCTTGGTCATCTTGCTTCTGCCGCTGAGACCAAAGCCCTTATTGTAGTTTTGATTTGCATTTCTGTAATAATTAGCCATGTTGAGCATCTTTTCATGTGCCCTTTGGCCATCTGTTTGTCTTTGGAGAAATGTTTATTTGGGTCTTCTGCCCATTTTTTGGTTGGATTTTTTTTTTTTTTTTTCTAATATTGAGCTAGCTATATGAGCTGTTGTATATTTTGGAAATTAATCTCTTCCATTCTATAGGTTGTCTTTTCATTTTGTTTGGTTTCCTTTGCTGTGCAAAAGCTTTTAAGTGTAATTCGGTCCAATTAATGTATTTTTGTTCTTATTTCCATTACTCTGGGATATGGATCCAATGTGATATTGCTGTGATTTATGTCAAAAGTGTTCTACTTAAAAAAAAAAAAGTGTTCTACTTACGTTTTCCTCTAGGAGTTTTATAGTATCCAGTCTTACATTTAGGTCTTTAATCTATTTTGAGTTTATTTTTGTATATGGTGTTAGAGGGAGAACGAAATGGCAACCCACTCCAGTGTTCTTGCTTAGAGAATTCCATGGACAGAGGAGCCTGGTGGGCTGTAGTTCATGGGGTTGCAAAGAGTCGGACCTGACTGAGCGACTATCACTCATGGTGTTAGAGAGTGTTCTAATTTTATTCTTTTATATATAGCTGTCCAGTTTTCCCAGCACCACTTACTGAAGAGACTGTCTTTTCTCCATCGTATATTCTTGCCTCCTTTGTTGTAGGTTAATTGACCATCGGTGGGTGGATTTGTTTCTGTTGCCAGACTGTTTCAGACTGGCTGCACTGCTCTGGATTTTCACCCATAGTGTGTGAGGGTTCTGATTTTTCTACATCCTCGCTAATACTTATCTTTTTTCTTTTTTTTAAAAATAATTTGATTATCAGTTTATTAAAAAGGTAGTAACAGGCATCGGCAGTGGTGATTTCCACCTTGACTTCTGGCTCAGTGCTGATGGAAGTGATCTGCTTGACAATTTCAGAAGGACTGTGCAGGTCAATGAGTCGCTTGTGGATCCTCATCTGAAATCAGTCCCAAGTCTTATAACCTTCACTGCAAGGAGTTTTCCTCGTAGTTATTCTCAGAGATTTGGTAGGCATCTGAACAGGTCCTTTCACCTTGAGATTCTTTTCCTTCGCACCTCTGATCAGGTCAGCACACACCTTCTCCAGAGACTTCACATTGTGGCTGGTGAGGGTGATCCTAATCCAGTGAATGGCCACCTCTGGCTCCACGGGAGTCTTGCCGGTATCTTTAAAGGCCCTGGCTGCAGCGTGGCTTCCTGACTGCCTTGTTCCTCGGCGAGAGAGAACAGTGGTGACTCAGGAGCAGGAGTGGGCGGCACTTAGCTCCGCTGCAGAGGCAACTGCATCTTCCTCAAAGAGCCTGTCTTTTTGATTCAAGCCACCTTAACAGGTGTGAAGTGATATCTCACTGTGGTTTTGATTAGCTTTTCTGTCTTGGGAGAGTAAATAGCTTGTCTCTCCTTTTGAGCTGGAAGGCAAGGTACTTGGTGCAAAGGCAGGTGAAGATTGGAGAGATGGAGACTGGGACCAACTTATTGGGGCATGTGAGGCCCTTAGCACCTACTAGAGATTTTGTTTGAGAGAGAGAAGAAACCATTCAGTTTTCTAGGTGTGAAAATAAAAAAATTGGGTAAAGTTGTGTAATTTGAAACCGAAAATTTAGAAAGTAGGCTTTATGGAGCAATTGCTGGGGTTGGACCTTGATAAAAACGTTTCATGTTTACATCATTTAATCCTCAAGGCAGAAGAAGACTTGGCTAGGATATGACATGCTGCTGAGGCCACACAGCCGATCAGTGGCGTTTAGGAGACTAAAATGCAGGTCTTTCTGAGTGCAGAGGGCCTCTCTTTGATCTCACAAGCGCATCAGCATTTCTTACCTTGGCCTGGAACCAGCCTCGCGACCCACCGTGATCTACTGCGTTGCCTTGAGAGCTCCGTTCGGGCCAAGCCTCTGACGTGCTTGCATCACATGTTGGTGTGAGGAGCAGTGTCTCTGGTGCAGAGTGAGCAGCCAGCTGCGGGCAGTGGTGGGGCCAGCCGTCCCCACAGGTCCTTTCAGCTTCAGGATTTTGAGCCCTACTTGCCCTCACACCAGGATCACCCAGACAAGGAAGGCGTCAGCGAGCTGTAGCAGTCAGTCAGCGCTGCTCAGCGTGGCCAGGAGGAGACCTTTGTGTTAGGGCTGCTCAGGTCTCCTGCGTACTCCAGACAGGCAAGTCAGGACCATGTTTGGATTTTTAATATTTAAATCTGTGTTTTGAATATGTAATGCATTCCCCTTATTCTGAATTCAGAAAGTACAGAGGAGTGTGCAGTGAGACGACTTCTCTTTCCCATCCATCCCCTCCCTCCGGTAGCAGTCAGCCTTTCCAGCTCAGTGTCTATTCTTCCAAACTAATTTATAGAGCAGCTATATCTACTTATTATCCAGTTATTTCCCTCTTTTTACATAGATGATAGTCTAATCAGATTCACTCTTTGGCATCTCTCACAAAGGACCCCAAGTTCTAAAGAATTAGTTGTTACTTCTGTTGAGAGATTTGTTGCAGTTGAAAAACATGTACACATCTCAGAGTTGAAGAGATAGTTTTCTTTCTTTCTTTCCCTTTCCCAAAACTCAGTTTGCCATTTTGTAATAAACTTTTGATCAGATTTGAAAACTGAACACAGTTCATGGAGTGTATGTTCTTAATTCTGGCTGCATGTGTTTTGCTTTTAGTTTGTTTTTATTGAGGTGTAGTTGACATATTAGTATCAGGTGTACAGCATAATGATTCAGCATTTGTATACACTATGAAATGATCATCATAATAAGTCTAGTTAGAGATGATTTAGTCTTAAATCTTGGTTTAAGAATTGCTGTTAGTTGTGAAGTCTGACAACTGCTACAAAGGATGTGAGGTGTGACTGGTGTCTGGGGTTCAGTTTTAGTAATCATCTTGTGTCCATACTAATTGACCGTTTCCTCCCTTAGCTTGCCAAAAAATACCACCCAGACACGAACAAGGATGATCCCAAAGCCAAGGAGAAGTTCTCCCAGCTGGCAGAGGCCTATGAGGTAATGCGACCCACCAGTGTGTGCAGTCCCTTTCATTCAGCTGTGTGCATGGGTCAGAGCGTGCTGCACTGGCAGCCTGATGTGTGAGAAGGTTCAGTGGGAAGGCCATGTCCCCCTCCAGATCACCTCGTTGAAGGGGAAAAAAAACAAACTTCGCAGTTCCAAAATGCTCATGTGAGCTCTCACTAGGAGTCTCAACAAAGAACAGAACCCAATAATCTGTATTCCCAGTCCCAGTCACTGGGACTTTAGCTGGGTCTGGGACGTTCTTGTCAGATTAAACAGTTCCGTGCCTGTTTGGTGACCTCCCCCTCATAGGACTGGTGGGATGGTGGATGTTGTAAAAGCAGGAGACCACCACTCCCCTGGAGGAGTGTAGAATGTCATCTGAGAGTGAAGAGGGCGTGAAACAGCTGCTGAACAAGTGCAGAGTTAAATGAGAGCGGACGTCCTTCCCAGACTCAGCCGTGCTGAAGAGGTTGGGGATATATAGGGTGTCGTACATCAGCTGTGTGTGTGTGTGTGTGTGTGTGTGTGTGTGTGTGTGTGTGTGTGTGTGTGTGTGTGTGTCTCCCCTCCAAATGAGAGCGGACCTCCTTCCCAGACTCGGCCGGGCTGAAGAGGTTGGGATAGGTTGGGGATATATAGGGTGTCGTACATCAGCTGTGTGTGTGTGTGTGTGTGTGTGTGTGTGTGTGTGTGTGTGTGTCTCCCCTCCAAATGAGAGCGGACCTCCTTCCCAGACTCGGCCGGGCTGAAGAGGTTGGGATAGGTTGGGGATATATAGGGTGTCGTACATCAGCTGTGTGTGTGTGTGTGTGTGTGTGTGTGTGTGTGTGTGTGTGTGTGTGTGTGTGTGATAGGTTGGGGATATATAGGGTGTCGTACATCAGCTGTGTGTGTGTGTGTGTGTGTGTGTGTGTGTCTCCCCTCCAAATGAGAGCGGACCTCCTTCCCAGACTCGGCCGGGCTGAAGAGGTTGGGGATATATAGGGGTGTGTGTGTGTGTGTGTGTGTGTGTGTGTGTCTCCCCTCCAAATGAGAGCGGACCTCCTTCCCAGACTCGGCCGGGCTGAAGAGGTTGGGGATATATAGGGGTGTGTGTGTGTGTGTGTGTGTGTGTGTGTGTGTGTGTGTGTGTGTGTCCCCTCCAAATGAGAGCGGACCTCCTTCCCAGACTCGGCCGGGCTGAAGAGGTTGGGGATATATAGGGGGTGTGTGTGTGTGTGTGTGTGTGTGTGTGTGTGTGTCCCCTCCAAATGAGAGCGGACCTCCTTCCCAGACTCGGCCGGGCTGAAGAGGTTGGGGATATATAGGGGTGTGTGTGTGTGTGTGTGTGTGTGTGTGTGTGTGTGTGTGTGTGTGTGTGTCCCCTCCAAATGAGAGCGGACCTCCTTCCCAGACTCGGCCGTGCTGAAGAGGTTGGGGATATGTAGGGTGTTGTACATCAGGGTGTGTGTGTGTCTGTGTGTGCGTGCGTGCATCCCCCTCCCTGCCCCTGACCATTTGAGAGTAAGTTACAGACGTGGTCTCTCTCTGTTCCTAAGTACTTCTGTGTGTGTTCTCTAAGAGCAGGAACATTATTTCCGTAGCCTCAGTACAATTGACAGGATCAGGACATCTAATGTCGATAGGCCACCACCACCGTTTGAACTTGGTGGCCGTGCCCTGGGCCCCGGGAGCCTCAGGGGCACCGACTGCCAGGCTTTTCTCGGCAGGTCCTGAGCGATGAAGTGAAGAGGAAGCAGTATGACACCTATGGCTCCGCTGGCTTCGATCCCGGGGCCGGCAGCTCTGGGCAGAGCTACTGGAAAGGAGGTCCCACTGTTGACCCAGAGGAGCTCTTCAGGAAGATCTTTGGGGAGTTCTCATCCTCCTCTTTTGGCGATTTCCAGAGTGTGTTCAATCAGCCTCAGGAGGTAAGCCCCTCATTTTGAAGAATTTTTCAGATTTCAGCTGCTCAATGTGACACAAACAGATTTTTTACCAGTTTCTGTTTCTCAAAGAACAAGGTAAAGCAACTTAAATGGGGTGATTGGGAGGCAGCCATCTTTGTAGGAAGTGGTTCCAGTATTTGAAAAACCATTAATAATGTGTACATTCAGTTCTGCTGTATTCTTACAGTTGCTTAATCAGGGCAGCACCTTGGCTTTGAGAATCCATTTAGAGTGATTATTTTATGTAGAGCCTGTCTTGTTATTTTAGGAGACTCAGTCCATAGGGAGGCACTGCCAGTCCTGCCTCTTCCATGTTTATGTCTTGTTTCAGGCACTATCAGAAGAGAACCAAAGAGTGGGGGGAAGTGTTTTATGGTGGAAGTTATGATTGTGGATCATTTGAATTGTTAGGACCATGTGCAAATATTATCTGTGAACATTTTCAGTTTGTTGAAAAGCACATTTTCATTTATACAACAGGTATTATCTGTTGAAAATCGTGAGGAGCAGAGCAGAATCAGTTGAGTCCCATCTGTTCTTAACTTGACAAGAGTACAAGTTAGAAAGTAAAAAGTGACTTGGGGAACAGATGAATTGGTGGAGCCATGAATAGGATTTTTAGGACAGTGAGAATACTTTGCATGGTTCTGTGGGAGGATGTGTGTTATTATATACATGTTCAGACCCATAGAATATCCAGACCAAGAGTGAACCCTAATGTAAACTCTGGGCTTTGGATGGTCACGCTGTGTCAATGTAGGTTCATCCTTGATAAAAAAAAAATGTATCATTCTGGTGAGTGGTGTTGATTACAGGGTAGACAGGCTGTGCACGTGTGGGGGCAAAGGTATGAGAGAAATCTCTACCTCCTTCTCAGTTTTTTAAACTTAAAACTGCTTTAAAAAATAGAGTCTTTAAAAGAAACAATAACTGTAAACTCCCAGCCAGCGCTGTCCCTTACTTTCAGAGTGATAACAGTGGTCCCTTGATTTCTCTAGTACATCATGGAGTTGACGTTCAATCAAGCTGCCAAGGGCGTCAACAAAGAGTTCACCGTGAACATCACCGACACCTGTGAGCGGTGTGACGGCAAAGGCAACGAGCCCGGCACCAAAGTCCAGCACTGCCACTACTGCGGTGGCTCCGGCATGGTGAGCCTGGCGGGCCCTGCTTTCCCCGGGGCTCCCGCCGCCGCCACCTCCCTCTGCTTCCCCGCCGCGCCTCCTCTCTGTGTGCCAGTGTGCCTGGGGCTCTGAGAACTTTTTAACGGGTGGGACTCTGTGGTCTAGAACCTTCCACATTGTCCCAGGAGTGCTCTCTATGGAAGAGGCAAGGAAATTCTGCTGTCTTCTCTGAAAATACATTTCGGGGTATGTTGGTAATTTAAAATTGGGGGAGGGGAACTTAAATTTTGCTTGAAGTGTAATCTTTTTTTCTTTTTCTTTTTGGTAAGTTTTAGATATAATTCAAACTTGTAAGAATAGTGTGAATAACCACTCCCTTAATTCCTTTTACCAAGCCTCACAGTTGTTAACATTTTGTTCCATTTGATTTGTCATTTATAGTATGTATTTTTGAAGAGCAAGAACATTTTTTTATGTAACCACAGTATGTTCTCAAAATCAGGAAATCTAATGTCCAAACAATATTGTCATCTGTACTTACTCAGAGTTTTTCATTTGTCCTTATAATGTTATTTTTATCCCAGACTCAGGATGCCAGTCTAGGATCTTGCGTAGTGTTTGGTTGTCATATCTTTAGTCTCCTTTAACCAGTAATGATTTCTTAGTCTTTCTTTTATGACCTTGACATTTTTTAGGATTACAGACCAACTGCTTTGTAAGATGTCCCTCAGTTGGGTCATCTGATATGTCCTCATGATGAGATTTAGATTATGCATTTTTGGCAGAAACAGCACAGAGATGTAGTGCCCTTTGCGTGGATCATGTTAGGAGTCATGTGTCCGTTGTCCCATTATCAAATGATAATTACATTTGATCCCAGTCAGTTAGCTGAGGAACTGTCCACCAGCTTTCTTCATTATAAAGTTATTATTTTTCCCTTTGAAATTAACAAGGAATCTGTGACTTACCTTGACACTATATAAATGTCCTGTCCCAGCAAACTTATACCCAGTACTTAATAGCATCCATTAGTCAGTCTTGCTTAAATCAGTTATTACTGTGACTTGCAAAATGGTGATTTTTCTGATTCCAATGTCCCTTCTCTGTTGTTTTTTTTTTTCAAGTTAATTTATTTATTTGGCTGTGCCGAGTTTTAGTTGCAACATGTGGAATCTAGTTCCCTGACCAGGGATCGATCCTGTGCCCCTCCATTGGGATCACAGAGTCTTAGCCACTGGACCACCAGAGAAGTCCCCTTTCTCTGTTTATTAGTTGGCATTCTACTAAAAGGAAGAGCTTTCTTTTCTTCTCCATTTATTTATTCTTTCATTTGTATCAGTATGAACTCACGGATTCTTATTTCATTCACTGAACCATCATCACTATTACTTTGATGCACAAGCTGTCCCTGACTGTGCTTCTGGAGATCTCTCTGGCTGGCTCCTGTATTCTTTTGATGTCCCATCATTCTTTCGGCACTTCTTTACTTGGTGTCCCAGCTTGCAAATACTTTCCTAGCCACATCCTGGAACCAGCCATTTCTCCAGGGAATTCTGATTCCTTCTCACTGTCTAGTAGGATTTAGGAACCAAGATCTGTGCTCTCGGTGACTCATTGTATCTGGGGTGTCACCGCTTCCAGGTCCTCTCAGCTGACTGAGACAGGAAGTAAGTGTGTGTGTGTGTGTGTGTGTGTGTGTGTGCGCGCGCGCGCGCGCATGCGCACCTTCCTGGGTCAAGAAGGTCCCCTGGAGGGGAGGGCATGGCAACTGCTCCAGTATTCTTGCCTGGAGAATCCCTGTGGACAGAGGAGCCTGGCAGGCTGCAGTCCATAGGGTCGCCGAATCAGACATGCACACATGTGCACTTACAGACACATATTCAGTAGACACATATTCAATACCTGTCTGTCTTTCCATATTTTTCATGTGATAGAGTATATATGTACACATAATGTGTACACTGATCCATCTGTTTAACAAACCAGTGAGTTCAAACTGATAGTTCCACTTTCAGCACAACACCGCAAGGCTTATCTAGTCTTCTGCCTGCCTGTCCATATTTGAAACTAAATAATAAAGAAAGATTATTAATTTCTAACAATGAGAAATCTGCCTCTGGTTACCCTGTGTATTTACTCATTTGCTCAATCCTATAACATACAAAAAGTAATTTGAGAACTGTCACTCATACCACTGCAAAAAGCAATCCTGCTTAACTGGCATTTGGGTATATGGCCAAAATACTGTGCTCAACTTACTCAGATCATTTCTTTTTCTCCCCCTTCACTGTGATTATATTATCTGCTTGAAATGCAGGTCGGTTTCCACTGAGTATGTTTGTATTCCATTTAGATGTTTTCTTTTTTAAAGGGGGTCGGGAGATTCTCTACTGCCAACCTTTAAAATAAAATCCTTAAAAAAAAAAATAAATAAATAAAATAAAATCCTTGTCTACTGGCAATGCAGGAGACCTGGGTTCAATTCCTGGGTCAGGAAGATCCTCTGGAGAAGGAAATGGCAACCCTCTCCAGTATTCTTGCCTGGAGAATCTCATGGACAGAGGAGCCTGGCAGGCTACAGTCCATGGGGTTACAAGAGTCAGATATGACTGAGTGACTAAACCACAACCAAGTGTGTATGGGGGGACAGAAGTTGTCTTTGAGTGCATAGAAGAAAAGCATAAGAAAGGAAACAAGTCCCTGATGATCCCATGACTGTTAGTGTTTTGATGTGTCTCCTGCCAGTTGTTGATGAAGAATGTCATTTTTGTTTTATATTAACTAGTTTTTGAACAGGTTGTATATGTAAATCATTGAAATTCAGTGGGTACAAATTGAAAACTGTGTACGATGAATCTCCCTCTCATTCTTGACTTTTACCCATTGAATTCCACTCTCCAGAAGCATCCTTTCTGTCTTTCTATGTAGACGTGTGTGTCTTTGTGTGTGTGCCTTGTTTTTATACCAAAGATAGAATACAACTGTTAGCCCCGTCTGTACCTTGGTGGTTTTGTTTTGATTCTAGTTCTCACTGTGTTTGGGAAATAGTCTATGTTTATAGCTACCTCAGTTGTTCTGTGGCCACGGTATTCCTCTGTACGGATATATCCCCTTTTGTTTAGCCAGACCCTTGTTGCTGGATGCCTAGGTTCTCATGTTTTCATTTTTTTTTGGCTAAGCTGAACAGGTTGCAGGATCTTAGTTCCCAGATCAGGGATTGAACCTGGACCCTTGGCAGTGAGAGCAGAGTCCTAACCACTGGGTCACCAGTGTTCGTCATTGATTTTAGTTGTATTTGTCTTTTGACTTTGAATGTATTTTTGGCTATTTGTGTGTGGATTTCATCAGTTGAGAATCATAGTGAAATTTTTCCTATTTTTCATTTGTTGTAATGAAGGCATTTTTCCATATCTTTGAATACTTTTAAACATTCTCTTTGTTGGCTGAATAATAGTCTACTGATGGGGGCTTCCCTGATGGTCCAGTGGTTGAGACTCGGAGCTCCCAATGCGGGAGGCCTGGGTTTTTTTTGTTTGTTTGGTTGGTTTTTTTTACAATTTCTTTTTTTTTTTTTTTTTTCATTTATTTTTATTAGTTGGAGGCTAATTACTTTACAATATTGTAGTGATTTTTGTCATACATTGACATGAATCAGCCATGGATTTACATGTACTCCCCATCCCGATCCTCCCTCCCACCTCCCTCTCCACCCGATCCCTCTGGGTCTTCCTAGTGCACCAGGTCCGAGCACTTGTCTCATGCATCCAACCTGGGCTGGTGATCTGTTTCACCCTAGACATTATACATGTTTCGATGCTGTTCTCTTGAAACATCCCACCCTCGTCTTCTCCCACAGAGTCCAAAAGTCAGTTCTATACATCTGTGTCTCTTTTTCTGTTTTGCATCTAGGGTTATCATTAGCATCTTTCTAAATTCCATATATATGCGTTAATATACTGTAATGGTCTTTATCTTTCTGGCTTACTTCACTCTGTATAATGGGCTCCAGTTTCATCCATCTTATTAGAACTGATTCAAAAGAATGCTTTTTAATGGCTGAGTAATATTCCATGGTGTATATGTACCACAGCTTCCTTATCAATTCGTCTGCTGATGGGCATCTAGGTTGCTTCCATGCCCTGGCTATTATAAACAGTGCTGCGATGAACATTGGGGTGCACGTGTCTCTTTCAGATCTGATTTCCTCGGTGTGTATGCCCAGAAGTGGGTTTGCTGGGTCATATGGCAGTTCTATTTCCAGTTTTTTAAGAAATCTCCACACTGTTTTCCATAGCGGCTGTGCTAGTTTGCATTCCCACCAACAGTGTAAGAGGGTTCCCTTTTCTCCACACCCTCTCCAGCATTTATTGCTTGTAGACTTTTGGATAGCAGTCATCCTGACTGGCGTGTAATAGTACCTCATTGTGGTTTTGATTTGCATTTCTCTGATAATGAGTGATGTTGAACATTTTTTCATGTGTTTTTTAGCCATCTATATGTCTTCTTTGGAGAGATGTCTGTTTAGTTCTTTGGCCCATTTTTTGATTGGGTCATTTATTTTTCTGGAGTTGAGCTGGAGGAGTTGCTTGTATATTTTTGAGATTAATCCTTTGTCTGTTGCTTCGTTTGCTATTATTTTCTCCCAATCTGAGGGCTGTCTTTTCACCTTGCTTATAGTTTCCTTTGTTGTGCAAAAGCTTTTAAGTTTCATTAGGTCCCATTTGTTTATTTTTGCTTTTGTTTCTAAAATTCTGGGATGTGGGTCATAGAGGATCCTGCTGTGATTTATGTCGGAGAGTGTTTTGCCTATGTTCTCCTCTAGGAGTTTTATAGTTTCTGGTCTTACATTTAGATCTTTAATCCATTTTGAGTTTATTTTTGTGTATGGTGTTAGAAAGTGTTCTAGTTTCATTCTTTTACAGGTGGTTGACCAGTTTTCCCAGCACCACTTGTTAAAGAGGTTGTCTTTTTTCCATTGTATATCCTTGGGAGGCCTGGGTTTGATCCCTGGTCAGGGAACTAGATCCCACATGCAGCAACTAAAAATCCCATGTGCTGCAGCTAAGACTGGGAGCAGCCAAATAAATAAATAAAGAAAAAAATAGTCCACTGATGGGAGTCCGCAGTTACCTGTACACAATCCTATAGCTTAGTCTGGAAAAGTAAAGTTGTGCCTGCTTTCCTCTAGAGGGCGCCCTAGGAGAGGATGAAGATTGCCGTGGCTTAGTTTTATTACCATTGGAGTCCCTGCCTCTTGTTATAGATACTTTTTATTGATCCCACTTCCCTCTCACTTCTGAAGTCCTTTCTCCAGGGTCCTGAATTGTTGTGACTTTCTTTATTCATATTTCTTTGGTGAACATTGAGATAATACGGTAAAACTGAAGGGTGTCTTATGTGCAGAGATTTTTTTTTTCTTCAGCATTGAAACAAATATTAAAATGGAAATTGAGGCCTGTGTACATTGGTCATGATGCATCATGAAGGTGAGAGGGAAAGGCATGTTGCAGAGTGATAATGCAATACACTCTTCTTGTAAAATTTTTACTTAAAAACTTCTTTATGGTGAGAAAGAGAGTGAGTGAGTCAGGAGAAGAACACCTCAAACTGAGCTCCTGTGAGCAGGTCACCCTGGGAGCCAAGGTGAGGGAGAGATTAATTTTTTATATATCTCTGTATCCTTTGATTTGCTACAACAGCATGTTGATAATTTACCCTCACCCTCTAAAAACACCCAAGGATGTTGAGTTAAAAGAAAATGGTAACTGAGTTCCATTTACCAGTGAAGAGCTGATGGGAGTGGCCACAGACTGTAAGGCCCCACCTGTGCAAGGGGCTGGGAGCCGAGGAGGCTCCTGGAGGACTGGGGTGAAGGTGGCTGCGAGAGGAGCCGCTTGCCTCCTACTCGTGGGCATCTGTGACAAGGGGGGACTGTGGGGGGCTATGGGGGACAGAGGCCTATGCTGCTCCTCCCTTGGGGCAGGCAGGGGCAGCTCTGGGTGGGAGTTGCATCCAGTTGTCACTTTCTTCTTTCTTTCCCAGCTGTCCCTTTTGTAAAGGGAAGAGAGGGTTCTCTTTAAAGCGATTTGCTCAGCTCTGGGGTCTTGGGGACCTTCTGTAAAGAGGCAGTGTCTCATTTTTTGGCCTCATGTAATCAGGTTTGTGGTTCAGGATTCAGGAGGCAGTGTGCTCTAGGTCAGGTTAACAGTTCGGGCTCCTGCACCTTGTCCTCAGGCAGTATGTTGGAGCGCAGGGGCACACCACACATACAGGTCTTCGGTGAGATGTTTCGCATGCTTGTTGTGGTCCCAGGGCCTTGCTGTCAGGGTGCACCAGTGTCTAAGGGTCCCATTTTTCTTGTCTTTGTAGGAAACCATAAACACAGGCCCTTTTGTGATGCGCTCCACGTGTCGGAGGTGTGGCGGCCGGGGCTCCATCATCACGTCTCCCTGTGTGGTGTGCAGAGGAGCAGGACAGGCCAAGCAGAAGAAGAAGGTGGTGATCCCCGTGCCTGCCGGTGGGTCTGGGCTCCTCCACGCATGGGGGCTCAGAGCCAAGGCCACCTGCCCTTGTTTCTGGAGCTGGAACTCAGGGGGGAACCAGGGTCTCCTGCATTTTCCTCTGCACCAGTTACCCTTAAGATCTGCACATCTCATAGGGAAATGGCACCTCACGTGCCTGCCCTGCTCCTGCGAGAAGAAGCTCCTCCACCTCTTTGTGTCCCAAGGCCAACGTTGTACCCACTGTCCGCCCAGCTGGCCAAACCACCCTCTCTGCCCCCAGGGCCAGCCCATGACCCCCACCCCCTACCCCAAACCAATCCTATTCCTGGAGTGGTCTTTGCACAGGGTGGTCTAATCACGTCTCACACTGTTGAAGACTCTGGCAATTCTCAGGGGCCAAAAATTGGCCTCCTCTTCCAGCCCCTCCTGGTCTCAGCCTCCTATTTTCTTAGTCTCCCCCTTGTTGCCTTGCTACTTACAGCTTCCTCATCCCCAGGGGAGCCTTCTGGAAGCATTTCCTTAGATGATCCTTTGGAGCTGTGATCTTTTCCTTCTAAGAACTTATCTCTGTTTGTAGTGATACATGGTGTTGTTACTCAGCTAATAACTATCTCCCCTGTGGATGTGCTCAGTGGCATCCAACTCATTGCAGGGACTGTAGCCCACCAGGCTTCTCTGTCCTTGGGTTCTCCAGGCAAGAATACTGGAGTGGGTTGCCATTTCCTTCTCCAGGGGATCTTCCCAACCCAGGGAGTGAATCTGCTTCTCTTGCATCTCCTGCATTGGCAGGTGGATTCTTTAGCACTGTGCCCCACTAGACTCTAAACTCACTGGGACACTAGGTGGACCTGGTGGTAAACTTGAATAAGTGAAGAGAAGGTGCTTTCATTTGGTTATTGATTACTGTATGCCGCACCTTTGAAAAGTTACTCTTGTTTTACTCGTTGCTGTATTGGGTAGTTGTGTTATTCCTTGTTAACAGGAAACAGGAATGAGTAAGTGGGTGGGTTGTAAATAGATCCAGCGTAGAAAATGCCTTCAGACATCGCAAAATAATTGTTCTCTTGCTTACAGGAGTCGAAGATGGCCAGACTGTGAGGATGCCTGTAGGAAAACGAGAAATTTTCATCACATTCAGGGTAGGTGCTCTGTTTGCACAGTCTCTTTTGGACTTTTGCTCTCATGGAGAGGGTGCAGCCCAGGCTTCTTATGGGTGAGATGGGAGCTTCATGGAATGTGCCTGGCCGTTCAAGTTTCTAAGGCAAGTGGTGGCCACCTCAGCAGGGTGACTAAACATGTGTTACATCAAGCTTTTGTGCTAAATGTGGAGAGAACAAAGTTACCCCAAGGTGTTTACAAGTTGGCAACAAAGCACTCATAAAAATACAGAAAACATCTTTTATTTTTTATTGATGTATTGAATTGTTCATGGGGATAATAAGTGCCAGAGTTAAGATTTACATGTGACGTGCAGGCAAAGTTTTCTGAGGCAAGGGTAACAGAGGAAGTGGCACCTCCTGCCACTGATTCCACCAAGCATGTCCCTAAGGAGGTGCAGCAGGTGGAGGCAAGGTGTGTGTCAGCCTCGTCTACAGCAGCGAGACACTGCCAGCAGCCTGCTGCCCTTTGGGAGGAGATGGCAAGTGAGCTGCACTGTGGACACCTCGGAGCAGAAGGCTGGAGACGCACATGTTGGTGTGAGACGTCCTGGTAGTTCTCAGCCACAGACAGGGAGTGAGCGGGTTGCAGGCCGAGGAAGGAGGTCATCTGTGTAGTTTCAAATCACATGAGGTGGTGTCATGTATTGTTTAGGGACATGTTGGGCTGCAAAGAGATCCAACCAGTCCATCCTAAAGGAAATCAGTCCCTGGTGTTCATTGGAGGGACTGATGTTGAAGCTGAAACTCCAATCCTTTGGCCACTTCATGCGAAGAGTTGACTCACTGGAAAAGACCCTGATGCTGGGAGGGATTGGGGGCAGGAGAAGGGGACGACAGAGGATGAGATGGCTGGATGGCATCACCGACTCAATGGACATGAGTTTGAGTAAACTCCAGGAGTTGGTGATGGACAGGGAGGCCTGGCATGCTGCGATTCATGGGGTCACAAAGAGTCGGACACAACTGAGCAACTGAACTGAACTGAAACATGTAAAAAAGGTAAACAGATGCTCCTAGGAAAGATACAGCCTAAATGTAGTGGTTATTGTGGAGGGGTGAGCAGGAAGGGGAGAAGTCACCTGTGTCCTGGTCTTCTGTGACCTAAACAAGGTTGTGTGTACAGCATGTGTTAATTACTTTGCTGATTTACGTATATGTGAGATATTTCATAGTTTAAAACAAAGACAAAAATAATGTAAAGGCTGAATCTTTAAGCCTGAGAAATTGAAGAGAAAGGTCGCAGGCTGGAAGCCAGTCTATGAAGAAGGTTTGATAGAGAATTCAGATTGTTCCCAGCTGATAGAGAAGAAGAAAAGAAGAAATCACTGGAAGACAAAGAATGTCTTTGAGACACAGATAAACAGTGCTTATAAAATTAGAATCATTCCAGTGCTGCTAGTCTGACTTGAAGATAGGTTGTACCAAAAGACTCTGGAAAGTTAACCCTTTCTGCCTTTGTAGACTGTATTAGTCTGTGTTTCTAGTAAAGTAAGATTTTTATATTTTTTTAAATTTTCAAAATTTAGTTTTATTTCCCTTGAAACTTGAACAGCTTAATCTAGGAGGACACTGTGGCATTGCAGTGAAGGGAGAAGCTGCCCTGTAACTCCCAGAGGCTGGGGTGGGTGGGTGCTTTGGTGAAAGTGCACTGTCTCCCTGGATGCTGCACGCTGAGCCGCGGCTGTGGTCTGCTCTCCAGAAGGACTTCTCTGAGCGTTAGTAACCCTCCCGTGTTTGGCCCTAGGTGCAGAAAAGCCCCGTGTTCCGGAGGGACGGTGCAGACATCCACTCAGATCTCTTCATCTCCATAGCTCAGGCCATCCTTGGGGGCACCGCCAGAGCGCAGGGCCTGTACGAGACCATCAACGTGACGGTAAGAGTGTGAGCACGTTCTCACCACTCTTGTACTGCAGTGCTCTTTTTTCTAAAACGGGAAATGGCTGAAACCTGGGAAGAGCCTGGCGGAAGGCAGGAGGAGTATTGGCCGCGCCTTGGGTGTGACTCGGCTGGGAAGCAGTTTCTGGGCCATGTCCATCCTGCTGGGCTGGGCAGCGGCCTCAGTGGCGCCCCAGGTTGGCTCTGCCTCCTCCCAGGTCCTACTCTCCGAGCTCCCTACCTCCTGGTGTGGGCTTGCCACCCTAGACTCCTGGCCCCCGAGCCCGTCACAGGCTCTGCTCAGGGTGGACCCAGCTTAGCCAGTTTCTGTGTGGTGTTTGGTAGGTTTGGTCTAGAAACCTGAATGGAGTTCTTTTCAGAAGTAAGATTGTCTTCATGTCGTGAGATGTTTTCGTTTGGGCAGCTGGAGGTGGAGGAAAACCTGAGGTTCCTTTCTTTATAGATCCCCCCTGGGACTCAGTCAGACCAGAAAATTCGGATGAGCGGGAAGGGCATCCCGCGGATTAACAGCTACGGCTACGGAGACCACTACATTCACATCAAGATCAGAGTTCCAAAGTAAGTGCCTCCTGGTGTGGCGAGGCCCATGTGCTCTCTGCAGCTTCCAGCACCAGCAGGAGCCGGTCGAGGACTTCTCACCTGCCAAGCAGGTGCTGAGCCCAACCGCCCGCCCTGTGTGGTGCTTCTGCTGTAAGCACTGAGGCTTAGGCAGGTTACTTCTCCCTCTAAGTCTGTCCTGTCCAGGTGCTCCTTCTGAAAGCGGATGTGATAAAAAAGTTCGACCTCGCTGAGTTGCTAGGAGATGAAATGAATAACCCATAGGGAGCAGTTAGCTATTATTGCTGCTCTTGGTTTTATTATTATTGCTCTTGGGTCGCCCACCATCTGAGAGATGATCTAGAACGAGCTGGCGGCTTGTGTCATGTCCAGCCTTGAGGAGAAAAGCCCGAGAGGGAACTGCGGACATCCGGAGCAGGGCTTGCCCGACTCTTCAGAGGGCTGGGTTTCCGGCGCTCTCTTTAATTAGATAATTTCCAACACACACACTTGTAACAGCTTTTCATCCCTCTGTTAAACTGTTTACCGTGGCCACAGTGGCAGTCGTTTAGAACAACTCAGGGTAGTTGCAGTGGTTCACTTTACAGAAGCTTTAAGGGTGTGGGCTCTTGGGTTCAGGGTGTGCCCGGTGCCTTGGTCAAGGGTCCTACCTTTCCCACATGCTGCGTGGGTGCCGGCCACATCCACATCCTTTTGAAGAGCTGCCCAGAGGAGCCGCTCAGACACTGATTGCGCTCGGTCCACAGGAGACTGACAAGCCGACAGCAGAGCCTGATCCTGAGCTACGCCGAGGACGAGACCGACGTGGAGGGGACGGTGAACGGTGTCACCAGCACAAGCACTGGTGAGGCATCCCTGCGGCCCGTGGGAGTCCCCCAGTACCTGGGAGGGCAGACGGTCTGGAAGCATGTTGGGGTTTCCACTGGGGAAGCTTCCTGGAGTCTCCAGAGGGCCCAGTAGTAAGAGGGGGCTGAGTGTTGGGCAGAGTGGCATGGGGCAGCCCCACTCGGGGAAGCTGGCCAGCAGGGCCCCCTGCCCTGGCCCTCATCCTCTCTGCACGCGCTGCTGGCCGAGGTCAGTGAGGCCTGTGATGCTTCCCTCCAGGGAGCGGCTCTGCGTCTTAGAGCTGCTCTCCTGAGTTCTGGCCTCGGTTCTGCCACTTGCCCTGTGACCGTGGGTTCATTCCTGCATGAGATCAGCTTGTAGCCACTAAAGGAGAAGATACATGTCTTCCTCATCCAGAAGGCTTCCCCTGGATTTCAGAGTGTCCTGTAAACAGCAGCTGTTGCAGGCTTAACAACCCCAGATCTGCCTGTGTGCAGCAGGTCTAAACTCAGCTTTTAGGGCCGTGAACAAACAAAACGCCTTGTTTACTCTGAGCTTAAACATCTGTAGAGTGCAGTTAAATATTGGCGACTGGTGAGTAGCCATGCCCCCCTATTCTGACAACAGGTAGACACTTTGGCTACAGGCACCTTGGCTGCAGCTCTTCTCCTCTGGATGGCGGTGCTCTGCCTGGATGGGGTGCTCTGTCGGGATGGGGTACTCTGCCCGGATGGGTTGCTCTGCTGGGATGGCGTGCTCCGCCGAGGAAACCCTGTCGGTTGGACCTCCTGCTGGGCTGGGAGAGGTCATGCTGAGGGTGAGCTGGCTTCTGCTGCCCGACGTGTTGCCTCCTGATTGCATCACTTTGTTTTTGTCTGGGTCCTGGATTTTCTCTTACCTTCTTGGAACTTGAATGGTATTTAGATTAGTGTACAATCAGAGCAGGTGATCGGAGCTGGGGGTGGGGCCATGGAACCCTGAGGCAGGGCTGGGGGTCCCAGTGGCAGCAGCCTTTGCATGGACTTGGCTGAGCTCCCCAAAATCCAGCAGACCAAGACCTCTGTGAAAAAACAACTGCCACAGATTGTATCTGTGGCCGACTCGGCATTAAGTGAGCACTTACTTTAGTGGTTTGGTTCATAGACTTTTCATATTTTCTTGTTACTATCCCTTGGACTAAAAAGAAGAGGGGATAATTCTTCCACATAACTCTACTTATGCACCTCTAGGTTTTTTTCCTGAGTCCCAAATATTCCCACAGTCACAGAGCATGCGAGATTTGCTCTGCATCCAGCTCTCAGCCATGCCCCCTTCCCCCAGGGGAACTTGAGGTCCTCCTGACTGAGCTCGGCGTGAGACCCTGGGCCTTGTTCACTGTTTGCATGTTGGGTATTATCCACCAGTTGTTATCAAGCCCCTTCCTGAGAGCTCAGATTGGGAGTTGATCCTGTAGTCAGCTTCTGAGTAACGTCCATGGTTCTCATCCTGTTAGCTCATTCCCTCTCCCCTCGTTTAGGCGAGATTTATTGGAAAGCTCTTATGTGCCAGACACATTGCCAGTTCTTCATTTTAAATTTCTATTGACATAATTTTGCTGAATATATCATAATGTTAACATATGTGTTGTATGTGTTTGTGAAGAGTTCATAAAGTGAAATGAGTGTCCTGAATTATTTTTTTTTCCACTCACTTCTGTTGTCATTTCAGAATTGTATTCAGTGGGAAATTTGGCTCCCAGACATAATTCTTTAAATGGCTTTTAAGAATCTTTTTTTTTCCATTTATTTTTATTAGTTGGAGGCTAATTATTTTACATCATTGCAGTGGTTTTTGTCATACATTGAAATGAATTAGCCATGGATTTACATGTATTCCCCATCCCGGTCCCCCCTCCCACCTCCCTCTCCACCCTATCCCTCTGGGTCTTCCCAGTGCACCAGGCCCGAGCACTTGTCTCATGCACCCAACCTGGGCTGGTGATCTGTTTCACCCTAGATAATATACATGTTTCGATGCTGTTCTCTTGAAACATCCCACCCTCACCTTTTCCCAGAGTCCACAAGTCTGTTCTATACATCTGAGTCTCTTCTTCTGTTTTGCATATAGGGTTATCGTTACCTATATCGTTACCATCTTTCTAAATTCCATATATATGTGTTAGTATACTGTAATGGTCTTTATCTTTCTGGCTTACTTAACACTGGAATGCACTGTCAGTCTGCAGCCTGGGTGTGGTTAAGCCTCTTGTTACTGTGAAGAAAGTTACTTTTGCCCTCCATGTGTGAGGACACACCAGTGCACACAATTACCTTTCCTGACAACTGCACTAAGGTGCATCCTATTTATTCAAGTAGAGCCTAAATCTCTGCTATTAAAGTTACACTGGAAGCAGTTGCCTTCAGTCATCAGTGGTTCTTGGGCTGGCGTGTTGCTTAAAGCCCCCAAGTGCCCGTGGAGATAGTCACTGCAGATACAGATTGATTTCTGGGTGTCTTTGCTTTCACCACTGGAAAGGTACCTGGAAGGCATTTGGAAAAGTTACCATTATGTAGGAAAACAACCTAAAAGTTTTTGGCCTGTTTAGTATTGCTTGTTCATTTTTGTTCTCTGTAGCCCCTGCTGAAAACCTTAATAATGGCTGACCCTGGCTTTGTTCCCAGTCTGAGAAGCAGAAAAACCACAGCAAGCTGGGGGCCTGGGGCACTCTGAGGTTACCAAGTGACCTTTTGGGTTTAGAGATAGCGTGACTCGTTGTTGGTATTTGTGGATCGTCATTAACTCCTGTGACGACCCCTGTACGTCCATTTAGCTGTCATGCAGGAACCTCTTCCAGAGCTTGGATCCCCCTGTGGTCTCTTCTCTGATGAGCTGACGGCATTGACTGTTGAGCCCCCCTTTATTTAGGCAGGGTGGAGGCAAGAGGCAGATGAGGAAAAAGACATTTTAGTGGAACAAGAGGCACTCTGCTGGCTCAGTCTGAGCATGTAGTCAGCTCAGGGAGTCAGACTGTGCGTGCAGACCCCGCACCTCTGCCTGTAGGGTGGGTTCAGTCCTCAGACATCATCCTGGAGTCCGGTTGGTGGGTCTATTTCCTCGCACTGATGGTCACTGAGCATTTGCCATGTGCTCAGAAACGATGCCCAGAGACAGGGTCCCTGCCCTGCCCAACTTACAGTGTGAGGGGGGAAGGCCAGGCAGGCACTGAACCCCCAAGTAAATGCCAGGCCTTGCTTATGACACTAGGAGCTTGTACCTGTGAAGAAAAAGGTGGTACAGATTCATAGAATGAGCGTTACCTGGTTATTCATCACCTTGTAAAGAGCCATGGGCTACCTTCCCCACCTCTTCTGGAGACCGTGACCTCTGCTGCCCAAAGCTGTGGGCCTCTCACCGACAAAGGCGTCTCAGACTGAGAGCTTGGGGACGTGGACATTTTGTCCCCTCTACCTACTGTCCTTGACATACATCCCCCTGCATGTTGACATGCACTAATTCTCCTGAAACAATGAAAAACATTGAGTCCAGTCCAGCTCCTAACGCGTCGGCCCTCGTGCCTTGTGGGTGGCTGATCTTTTAACATGATGTGTTTGTGCAGAGGGGCTTTCACAGCCCCTCCGGAAACAGAAGGGTGGCTGCCCATCTTGGGAGCATTTGGAGCCAGGTGCTTGCCCAGTGACGCACGGGTCCTTGGCTGCCCCGTCCCAGCTGAGCAGTGCATGTGTCCTGGGATCCCGGTGCCCTGGAGACGATGCGTGCGCACTGACCAGGTGCGGAAGCTGGTCGGTGGGTCTTGGCACATGCTTTTCACCTTCTCAGAGCCTGGGCTTTGGTGTCTGACTGCTTGGGTCTGAACTCAGACCTCCTGCCCGCTTAGCAGTTCTGTGACCTTAGTCATGGCACCTAACCCCTTTGTGCCTCTGGTTTTTGTTTTTTTCATCTGGAATTTACCTGTAAGGTTACCGTAAGGATTGAATGAGGTATGGATGTCATGTAGCCTGGCCTGGAAGGCATTGGCGCTGGCTGTGTTTCTGTTACGGTTGTTAAGGTGGGACAGCTGCCTGTTGTTCCTTTCTGTACCTTGTTTTCCTCTCGAGGGCCAGTGACTTGGGGAGCAGTTGGGATGCTCTAAGTGCTGAGCCATCTGATGAACGGGACAACCCTGGACAACCTGATATGGCCACCTCTCCTCTCGGGGTTGCTGTTGGAGCACGAGCCCTGGGTGGCCAGGTGGGGCCTTGGGTGGGCTGCGAGGTCTGCGCCCTTGACCCCAGTTCTCTCTGCTGTTTATGCCCAGGTGGCAGCACCATGGATAGCTCCGCGGGAGGCAAGGCTAGGCCTGAGGCTGGGGAGGACGAGGGATTCCTTTCCAAACTTAAGAGAATGTTTACCTCCTGATATCCCAGCCGAGGTAGGAAAACCCCTGAGGTTCCTCCCTTTCATGCCCCTCTGAAATAACGAATCCCTGTTTTCCCTCGTTTTAGCCAGTATCATCCCCCCACCCCCAGAGTTGACGAAGTTCCCATCTCAGGCGTGGTGTGAGCCTAGCCTTAGCCCAAGGGGAGCTGGCAGGTAGTGCAGGGCTGAACCACCTCCTAGAGCCCCCCAGCCCTCCTTCCACCAGCTTCCGGGGGCACTGCATCCTGCTGTGGTGGGAACCAGGTTGCCCACAATCACAGAGGGCAGGTCACAGCAGAGCCAGGCCTAGAACTCAGATCTCCCCAGCCCCGCCCTGTCCTGGCTGGGACGTCTAGGGCAGTGTCAGCCTTAGTGTGGGGTGGGGTGGGGCAGTGACGGGAGTCCTGCTTGCTCACTGTGGTGTCTTAGGACTCACCTTTCACTTGTGCTGGTCCCTGATGTTGGGGCCTCCTTCCCAAGGACTGCAGAAGTTCACCGACAGGGCGTGTCTTTTCCTGCGAGGCCAGTGAACTGTACCCGTTTGTGTCTTGGCTCAGGAAAACGGTCCACTGGGAACTAGGCAGGGAGCAGCAGCACCCCCTCGTGTCCAGGGCACCTCGGACGCAGGAGGATTCCCCACGGCAGCACCGAGCCCCTGCCTGCAGAGGCCTCCGGACCGCCTTGGCAACAGTGAACTCACGTGACCATGCGGCTCTTCACAGAGGTCATGGCGGACGGGACGGACCCTGGGCAGTCAGGCATGGCCAGCCTCAGGGCTTGTAGCTTCCTGTCTGCAGGGAGGTAACTTGGCCTCTTCAGGCTCTGGCAAAGTCAGACAGCTGGACACTTCCTGCAGAGCTGAAACTCTTAATTTGGAACTGAATGTGGTTAAAGAATTAAAGGCCATGCTTACAGCTTAAAAGTGAAGCCTTAAGCTGCACCGAGTTGTGACGTGATTGATTTCCCTCTCAGCAAACCTCCGGGACGTTCCAGAATGAGTCTTTCCTGACAGGTTGTCCTTTCCGGGAACATGGGGCACACACACCCTGCTGGTGTCACCCACCCTTCAGCTGGAGTTGGTTTTAATTCCCACAGCTACTGAGCGGCTGGAACCTGGGGGCCTGGGGTGACACCTAGGGGACAGCCCCGGGAGAGGCCACGCTTGATCACGTGGGCAGTGATCTCCGTCAGGACGGAAGGTCCTTCCTCCCAGCCCACGCAGGGTGGCCCTGTCCCCCGGCAGTTGAATTGTGTTGTTCTAAGCCAGGCATGGGTGGGGCTCCTGCCCCTCTGCTGGATCACAGCTGGCGTGGCCTGGGGCTGACTGAGGGCCTCCCAACTCCAGCCCTGCCCCACTGCTGTCGGGGCCTTGGGTCTCACCACTCACTACTGACCTGTTTTCAGACGTGTGTTTAAATTATTCAGTGCTGAGAATCATTGTCTTTTCCCGTACGAGTGTTTGTTCAGAGAAAAGCACAGTCTCAGCAATCAAAGGGTTCTCCAGCATCCAGCCAGACCAAGCACCATTTCCCAGCCTTGGCTCCTGGGACGTGCGGGTTCCCTGTGTTTCCAGATCCCCTTGCTGTGGTGAGACAGGCTAACGGAGAGCCCTTCTGATAAGTGTGCTTTCTGTCCCTCCCCCGCCCCCATAACTTACTAAAATAAAGCATCTGCTAGTGTCTGCTCTAAGAATGTAAAATGATTCTGTATCAATGTAAATAAGATTATCTACTGCAAAGAGATATTTAAAACCTGAATTGTGGTCATCTCTTCCTTGAAAGAATCCGGACAGCTCTCTGCAGGTGCCCGTCAGGCCACCCCACGTCTGCTGGCCTTCCCGGGGCAGCCAGAGATGGCTTTCCTCAGCGTCGCCCGCACTGAGGGACAGGTGTCGCTTTGACAGGCGCGGACCCTCCCAACCTGGAGCAGGGAGCTTATCCTACAGTGATGTGCTGATCTGAACGAACCTTCTAGGATTCAGCATGTCGCTTTTACTCTGGGAGCCCGCTCCTCTAAAGACCTGCAGTGTGGCCTCCTTAGGTCCCTGAGCGTCACCACCGCCATCACTAGATACTCTTTGTTTCCTCCATTGTTTTCAGAGGAGTATTAAGGTATTTTGTGTGTACTGTGGTCTTCTTCTGGGCTCTGGTGGCTGGAGTGGGCCCCAAGCACATGACTCTGCCCTGCCCCGGGGTTCTGGGCTGAGCAGGCTGTAGTGGAGGCGGGGGTGCGCACTTGCTGGATTGGGTGAAGAGGCTGGGAAGACCTGGTGGGCAAGAAGGAGGCTGAAACTTCCTGCCAGTCTCCAACCTCTTCCTCCATTGAACAGAAGTTTGCCGAGCACCTGCTGTGCCTCAGCATGGCCTGGGCAGGATCTGAGACCCCAGGGTACGGTGGTGGAGAGCTCAGTGGTCTCTCTCTTGACACCTCAGGTCGTCTTCCCAGAGAAGTCAACCAAAGCCATGTTTTTTTAAAGTAGCAGTCTAGACTTTGAAAGGGGAAAGTGGATTTTCTTTCCAGTGAGACATCTTCATGGCTATGCCAAGGCATTCTTCCCTCCGATGGTCAGAAGGTGGTGGGGCAGCATCTGTAGGTTCGGGTCCCCGAGGCCTGGCTGGACTGGGTTTGGCTCATTCCCACAGTTAGAGGGCCACTCCTGAGATCTGTCTCCCGACCACCTTGCAGCCTGAGGTGGGGCTGGAGTGTAAGCCGAGCCATTTAGAAACAAGAGAGTATCTCTAGGCCCCTGGGCCTTTGTGGATGGGAGGCAAGCACTTGCTGAAGTGCTGGGAGCAGGATGGACAGGGGAAGGCACTGGAGGCTTGCAAGACCTGACCACGAGGGGCCCAGGGAGCTAGACGCTGCCTCTCCCCAGTTCCCCTATGTAGTCGTCACAGCAGCCCGGCCAGAGGGCACCAGGTGAGCAACCCACCCCCAGAGGGTTGGTGAAACGGCCAGCACTGGATGGAGCCTGCCCTCAGCTCCCTGCAGCTCGCCCTGGAGCCAGCGCGGCAGGCCCTCCCCAGGCTTGGTGCCAACCGAGGGCCACTCCTGGATCCTGACATCATGAGTCAGGGTCCCAGCAGGCGAGTCTCCCCTCCAGAGGGCCTGCGGCACTTGGGCATCACAGGGCTGGACACGGATGACCTGTTGGGTTCTCCTGCTGATATGGGTGGGCTTGGAAGCCTGTGTCATCACGTCTGTTCCCTCCTACCCTCCTGGGAGGCTGCTCCCTCAGGCTGTCGCTGTGCCCCTGAAGTGGGCTCTCCTCCAGTGTTCTTCATCCCTCCTGCTCCCTGCAGCCTGATGTCGGTCTGCAGCCATCCCACATATTGGTATCTGGCCCTCCTGCTAAACCAGACTGAAGACACGGTGTAGAACTTTCCTGATTAACATTGTATTTAGGGTCTAGCACACTGGATAAGTTGTCGACAAAGTGCTTATGAATCAACAGATGGAATGAATTTGGCAGCCCTGCTACCCTTTCAGTGCCTCTGCAGGTCCCAGGGCCAGAGCAGGGAAGTAGAGACTGTGGTGGACAACCCGCAAGCCCAGAGACACCAGTCTCCCCACCAGCTGTGTCCTCTGGGCCTGCGCTTCTCATCTCTATAGTGAGCAAGAGAGGGAAGCCATCCAAATGCCTGGGGGGCTCCTCTGCCCACCAAGCAGGGCTGGGGGGTCACTTCCCTGGTTTCCGCTCCCTGCCTGTGCTGTGGACAGCATCACCTCTTCTCCACAGTGCTCAGTTCTCATGGCCTGGGGTCCACAGCTCGGTAACGTCCGTTCAAGGGTTTCTTTCTTACCAGCATGTTTTGAGATAACCACATCTCAAGGCTACTGCACCCGGGGGCCCAGGAGGCAGGTGAAGAGAGAGGAAGAAGGGGCCGGTCTTCCCGCCTTGAAACTCAGAAGGAACATGTGGATGACCGGATGTTCTGGAGTGGAAGGGTGTGTGTGCAGTGGTGTCAGACGTCGCCCCTGGCGGCAGGGCTGGGTCGGGGGTCCTCTTGGCCCCCCACCACTTGGCTGGGCACTTGACGGTTCCTATTGGAATTTTCATGTCTTTGGTGCCCCAGCATCTGCCACCCCTACCCCAAACCATGAAACAAAGCGCTTTTCTTTTGGAAGCCATCTGTGAGAACAATGGCCTTTATTTAAAAAATAAACTTTCTTGTAACACAAGAGAGGGTCACTGTGACCGCACCCCCCGTTGTCCCCCCAGACGGGGTTGAGACGTGGGCAGGGTCACAGCCCTGCAAAGTCCCCTTTGTGCTGCTCTAGCCACTGGTCCAGTGTCCTGGCCTTGGGGTTGAGCTTCAGGGTCAGTTCAACGTTGCGGTCAGGTTTCAGGGCATAAAAACGGAACATGTTGGCCAGGTCCCGGGCGCCGGGGAAGCCAAGCTTCTCGTAGTCCTCAGGGCTTGTCTGCAAGCAGAGGAGCGCCTCAGGGTCGGCAGCACCGCGACCACACTGCCGGTACCCCAGCCCCTACTTTGTCCCCCTGAGCTCATCTGAAAACCGTTGATACTAAAGAGATGAACCTTCAAAAACCACAGTTCAGGGCAGTTTATATCCTGTTCTTCCAAGATCACGAGATGAAGACGTCTCAGTCCCTTCCACATCAGGACTCTGCTTTCATCACTTTCTTGCTTAAAACACCGAAGCTGTTCCCCTTTCCTAACCAAACTGAACCTTAACTCCTTGGCTCCCAAACCCTCCATGACGGCCTCAGGCTTTCTTTGTTTAGATAGTAATACACAGCCATTTAGTGCACATTTTCTAGTGCTTTCATTGTGCCAAGGGAGCGTCTACATCAGTTATTCCATTCAGTCTTCAGCCCGAGGATGGGATACGTTCCATACACCCACTTTACAGATGAAGAAACCAAGGCAGAGAGGGGCCAGGGGCTGGGCCTCTGGTTACACACAGGTGGGTGTTAAGGGCCAGGAGCAAAATCTGAGGCCAAAATGTGTCCTGCCCCAGTCTCTCCCCATTTATTGCTCTGCTTGTGTCTGGGAGGCTCTGTGGGTGGTTTCTGTCATTTAATGACTCTGAGTATCCCATAATCTCAAAATGAGAAGAAACAACAAACCCAGGGGTCTGGACAGGAGGACAGGGTAGGTGAGGGAAGGAGGGGACTGTGCCAGGCCAAGGAAAGGGGCCGGACGGGGCCCACTCCAGCCTCCTTCCCCTGCACCAAGGAGCCCAAGACCCCCCGTGCTCTCCCTCCTTGCTTTGGCCCCTACTGGGTCCTGTTCCTCAAGCCCTTTCTTGCCACTTGGCCCTCTGCCAGAGCCAGACATCTCACCCGGCAGCCACACTTCGCTCCTGAGAACAGTAGACGTCAGCCTTCTCTGAGGATGAACTAGGCTTTGTGATGCTCAGAGCGCGGGGCAGCCCAGGATGCCACTCCCCTGCTACTCGCAAAGCCGCTCGGATTGGGCTTCCGTGTCCCGCCAGGTCTCTCACCTTGGCATCGCGCACCGCCTTGCCTGTGTGCTTGGAGAGCAGGGCAGCATACTCCTCCGCCGTGTGCCTGCAGGTGCTGAGCCCGATGTTCCTGCCGATGTACTCCTCTGGGGTCTTTAGCAAGCTGAGCACCACGGGACCTAGGTCAGCCACGGCCATGCCATCTATGGGCACGTCACCCATGGGCAAGCCTGGGAGGGGGAGAGGGATGTGCTGGCCCCTGTCTCTTGAGGGGCCGGTCTCCACCAGCTGGTTGGCGCACAGGTCAGCACCTGGCCTAACTCAGACACCCCAGGGTCAGCAGCAGAACTGAGTCAGAAAACGGGACACGATGGAGCTCTGCCGCTGGCAGGCCGTTCAAATCCTGGGAGCCGGGCTGGGGAGAACTCCAGGCCTGCCACCCATCAGGCCTGAGACGGGAACAAGCAGAAGGAGGGGAAGGGGCTTTGAAAGGTGCCCTGCCCAAGAATGGGTGCAAACCTGTTCCTGACGTGGATGCCCACGGAGGGTGCTCCAAACGCCAGCAAGAAAGCTCGAGTGGCCAAGGCTGGGGCCGAGCCCAGAGCAGCGTGGTGGGTGCTGATAAACATGTTAACAAGTGACTCTACCGGCCACGGTGTGGCTCTGGGGGTGGAGAGGCAGAGCTCTGTCTAGATGAGGCACCTGGAGCCCTCCGGCCCTGCCTGTAAAGTTTCCACGGCTGCCCATTCAGACCACCCAGGAGCCTGTGGGGATGGAACTCCAGCTCAGTGATGGAACACAGGCGGCTCTCTGATGATGGCTCTCCGAACTGTAAAGGGTGGTGTCGGGGTGCCAACTCAGGCCCAGACTCTGCCCAAGGGAGGGTGAGCAGGGATCACGCAGAGGTGAGGAGCCAGGGGAGGGCGCTGACCCCTCCTGCTCTGCCTGCCGAGCCTCCCATGCTGCCCCGCCAGCGGCAGGACATAGGTCAGACACAATGCCCTCCACGCTGTTTGCAGATTTGCAGACGGGCAGAGAAGAAAGTGCTTTCCTACCCCTGGGAAATCAACTGGACCTAGCCCTCCAAACTCTCTCCTCACTGATGAGGCAGAAACAAGAGCCACGCTCGTTTCTGCAAAGCTCTCCAACAGACAGCACTGCATCCCCGCACTGGGCAGATATTCCCTGGGGAAGTCCGGGTCATGCCCATCTCATGGGACAGGACATGGAGGCCCAGTAGGGTCATGGGTCTACTGTGAGAGGGCCGGGGCTCAGACCTGGAGCCCTCGGAGGACAAGCCCACTCTCTGGGTCACCGTGGCTCCGCACGGTTCCAGCAGACGCCCGAGGGAGCACACTCACTCAGCAAGTAGCTCCTTCCATCCGGGGCTTTCTGGGGCAGGAAGTAGGAGAGGAGGTTCTCAAAATAGCAGGGCAGCCGCACGCTGGTCATGGGGACGCTGATGTCCCGGAAATACTCCTCCACCTCCCCTTTGCCGTCAAAGTGTCCCGCTGTCAGTCTCCCCCCCGTTAGCTTCTTGATGTTCTCCAGGCCGCTGTAGACCACGTAGCACAGGCCCAGGCGCTTGGCCAGATCGGCCAGCAGCTTTCCCTGGCAGGCGGGCAGGAAGGGAGAAGCCACAAAGCTCAGAGGAAGGGTGTGTGTCCCCATTGCGGCCCTGGCTCTCCCACCCCAGGGGCCACTGTGCCAAGAGCCACAGGCCACTAACCCCTCTGATAAGGCTCCCCCTTTCTTGTGTGTCTCCCACAGCATCACATCCTCTACCCCAGGATTAGAAGCCTCCCACCAGCCACACAGCCTTAGCGCCCCTTCTCCAGATCATCCAGGTTGTCCCACCGTCCAGGGTACTAGACCAAAGTCCTCCATGTGCCACCTGGGAGGGGGTGCACAGAGGCTTCCCGTCTCTGCCTGTGCTTAGACAGCACCTTGCGCCGTGCTGTGCCGTCTTCCTTGGAGAGCCCCAGCCGCCCCTAAGGAAGCGCTATGGCTCAGCCGTTCAGCACAGAAGACATGCCACGTGGGCTTCAGACTGGCTCTGCAGCGCCCTGGCTGTGCCTTCCAGGACATAGAGTCTAACTGCTCTGGCCTCGTCGGTTAAATGGGGACCCTGCTGCACAAGGCTGTGTAGGGCGCTGGATGGTGGCCTCCCAAGAGACATGTCCACCTCCCATCCGCCAGAACCTGTGAATGTCACATCGTTTGGGAGAGGGTCTCCGCAGATATTTTTTAAGTTAAAAAACTTGAGATCATCCTGGATTACCCTGGTGGGCCCTCAACCCAATGACAAGTGTCCTTATGAGAGATGGAAGAGGAGACAGGGAGAAGAGGAGAGGCCGCGTGAAGACAGAGGCAGAGCCCGGAGTGACGTGACCACACGAAGAGCTGGCACCTCCGGACACCGAAAGAGGCAAGCCTCCAGACAGTGCAGGGCCAACACCTTGCTGTGGGACTCCTGGACTTAGAGCTGGGAGAGAATAAATTCCTATTGTTTTAAGCCACCTGGCTTGTGGTCATTTGTTATGGCATAGGCGGTCAGGTTGACAGGATCTGCATGAACCAGAAAAGTTCTCTTTGTCCACCCTCTGAGATGGGCTTCCAGGTAAGACAGCAACTGAAGGCTCGAGGTTAAAAACAGAGACCAGTGGTCCAGTCCAGCTTCCCTTTATGGACCCAAGTGGCCCCTTTACATAAGAGGAAAGAGAGACCAGCTCAGGGAAGTCACGTCCACAGTCAAGGCGGTGGGGAGCCGTGGACGAGGCAGGACTGAAAGCCAGGGGTCTCAGCCCTGGAACTGGCTGCGCCAGTCATACCTTCTACAAATACCTAAGCGCCTGCTATGTGACAGGCCCACTGCAAGTGTCTCTACCTTCCAGGAGATTTTAAAAAGATGCATGTTCGTCTCACATCCCTCCCACGGCAGCCTGGGCTCAACAGCCACCGACCAGAGAGAAGCTGGGTGGAAAACAGAATAAAGAGAAACATGACACATCTAAAAAGGGACATGGCAGATTTGGGGAATGTTGGTGATGGATTATACTTTGATTGTTGTCGTTGTTCAGTTGCCAAGCTGTGTCTGACTCTTTGTGACCCCATGAACTGCGGCATGCCAGGCTTCCCTGTCCCTCACCACCATATTTTGATTAGAATGGTAGTTCCATGGGTATGTGTGCGATGTGTCTGCTATGTGTCAACTGTGTCTGACTCTTTGCGACCCTATGAACTGTAGCCCGCCAGGCTCCTCTGTCCAGGGGATTCTCCAGGCAAGAATACTGGAGTGGGTTGCCATGCCCTCCTCCAGGGGATCTTCCTGACTCAGGGATCGAACCCATGTCTCTTATGTCTCCTGCATTGGCAGGTGGGTTCTTTACCACTAGCGCCACCTGGGAAGTCAGTTATATGTGTATATTTATCTTCAAATTTCATCAAATTGTACGATTAAAATGTGTACCTTTTAAGAAAATTATGGGTCAGCAGGGAGAAGGTAATGGCGCCCCACTCCAGTACTCTTCCCTGGAGAATCCCAGGGATGGGGGAGCCTTGGTGGGCTGCCGTCTATGGGGTCGCACAGAGTCGGACACGACTGAAGCGACTTAGCAGCAGCAGCAGCAGCATGGGTCAGCAGAGTTGTTTAGAAAATGTGAAGTCACTGGATGACATAAAGCAGATTGTGGTTGCCTGGGAGGGGGAGTGGGGAAGGACTGCCAACAGGTATGGTGTTTTCTTTGGGGGGTGATGAAATGTTCTGGAATTAGTAGTGGTGATGGCGGCCCAACTTTGCAAACAGGTGAAAAAACACTGAACTGTACATGTCAAAAGGGTGAACACTATGGTACATGAATGATATCTTAAGTCACTGGATGAAAAAGAAATCACCTCCTGCCCTTATCAAAGTCTAGGAGGGCTGCATGGAAGAAGAGGAGAAAAGCTGCAGTGTCCGTCATCACAGGCAGGGGACAGCCCCTTTCTGACAAGTCAGAGCTGCCCTGCAAGGAGGCTGGGAGCTCTTTGAAGACGCCCGGCTCCTGCCCTGGCCTCCCCACTCCCTCCCAACGCCCTGCGTCCTGCTCTCACCTGCTTGACCTCCTGCTCCTGGCTGCAGTTCTCCCAGTAGTTGGTCACAATGAAGGTGGCGTGAGCCCCACTCAGGGCCAGCTCCATGCTGGCCTCGTCATCCTGGTCTCCCTGCACTACCTCTGCACCTTGCAGTGTCAGCTGCTTCGCTGCCCTCTGCCCAGGGTCCCGGGTCACCACTCGGACCCTAAATGTCCCATCTGCCAGGAGCGTCCGGGCCACTGAGCCCCCCTGGGCACCTGTGGAGAATCAGAAAGACCTGCAGGGTGGAACCTGCCTGGGAGGCCGGCCGAGGGTGGCGCCCCTAGCGCTGGGGGGCGGGGCCGGCCGGACCCCCAGGCTGTCCTGGGTGAAGGGTCCAGCGCCTCCTTTGGGGGTTTCGCTTACCTGTGGCTCCAAACACCACCACCAGCTTCTTGTTCGCCATGCGAGCGGGAGCGGGAGGTGTGGTCCCGAGAGGTCTAGGGGCAGTGAGAGGCAGAGTGGGCGAAGGGGAGCGCGCGTCGCGTAGGCCCCAAGGGGAGGTCCGGCCGGGAAAGATAGGGACCCCGCCACCCCCGTCCCCTCGGCGGCTCCCGGGCCCTACCGGCACCCCGCTCCCGGGTCCTCCAGACCGTCTGTACCTCCCAGTGGAGGCCTAGGTGTGAAACGGTCCAGGAACTGGGGGCCCGCTGCTCTGCAGCCGAGTCCACAGCTTGGGGGGATGCAAGCCTACATGTGGCGCCGACCCTCGCCCTTAGATCCAATTGCAACTCGGAAAAGCCATGCTTTCCCAGGCATCCTGCGTGAAGGGACCCCAGGCTGGTCTGCTTCCGAATCCCCGCCGTCCAGGCCCTGACTCTGCGCGAAGCGGACATGCCACTCCCCCTCCGCGGGCACAGATGGTTCGTCCCAACTCGGGCGAACTCTGCCGAAGGTCTGGAGCCGTCGGCCCCGGGCCAATTTGCGTCAATCGGGTCTGACCGAAATGTACTTGCAGACGAGGACTGCACAGGCGAATGCTGGTGGTGACGACTGCGCCAAGCAAAAACGAATAAGTAAATAATTTTTATTTTGCATGAACATCTGATCTTTGAAAGACAAATCTATATTCGTGACTCTTAACACCCAAGGCTCTGTCTCAGTTCTTGTATGCCTGACTCATACTTGAGGTTGCTACTAATTGCCCAGGTTTGAATTCTTTTTAATAGAAAAGATCTCTCTCTCTTCTCTTTTTCTTTTTTTTGGGGGGCCACGCCCCAAGGCATGTGGGATAGTTCCCCGACCAGGGATGGAACAGGTGTCCCCCTGCAGTGGAAGCAAGGAGTCCTAACTACTGGACAACCAGGGAATTACACAAATTGTATAGATATATTTCTTTGTTGTTCAACTAAAACTCAAAAAATGACCCTCTCACTCCTCTTCTGAAATTTTATTGCTGACCCGGATAAAAGCATTTTTTCCCCCTCCCTTCATTCCAAAATGTGTACTGACGGCTCCAGGAATGTCAGTTTCGTAACAGTAGGCACTTGTCTCCATTAATAGCTGAATTTCCCAGCACCTAAAATAGTACCTAGCACAAATAGTGGCTCAATAAATATTTGCTGATTGATTGTCTAAACATTTACTAGGCACTGGAGTTACAGGGAAATCAAACTAAAACTGGTGTTATTTTCCCGAATTTAGTGGTGGAAATAACCCACGAAGTAATGTCTATTTTATATATGTAAAATAGTGGTCATTATGTAAGATGCATTTACTTATTTTAATATTTTAATAAGTAAATATAAGACATTTGTGTCTATAAGTGAAGGTGTCATCTAAATAGAATGTTTATCTTGCATAAACCTTGTATTGCCTCCTCCACAGCCTATTACGTTATTCTCAGAGCTCAGGCTGTATACCTTCCTCCCATCACCTTAGATAGGGCTAACTCCTACTCATTCCTTAACGCGTCACATACCCATCACTTCCTCCAGGAAGCCCTCTCTGACTCCTAGGCTAGAATAGCTACTATTTCATTCCCATCTCTATTCCACTGGCAACATGATCTCTACCATATTAGACTGTGGGCTTCCTAAGAGTTGGCCCCATGTCTTTTTTATTTCTATCTCTCTCCCTCCTGGCACAATGTCCAGCATTTAGTAGGAACTCAATAACTTACTGAATGGAACCCAAGTGCATATTATTTTGATAAAAGATGAGACTTTTCTTCAACTGTGTGGGTTAAGCCACAAAACTCGATATTCTGAGGTCTCCACTTTAAGGAAATAAATCCAAGCAAGAAGATCCTCAATGGGGCCAGCTGCAGAAATCTTTTTTTTTTCTTCCAGCTTCACCCCACAGTATCTGGAATCTTAATTTCCAGACCAGGGAACAAACCCTTGTCACATGCAGTGGAAGGGTGTGTCTTAACCACTGGACCACCAGGAAAGTCTCAGGACCAGCTGCATATTGTATAAGGCGCAGTGCAAAAAAAAAAAATGCAGGACCCATTGTTTAAAAATTACAGAGAATTTAAAGACTGTGGTAGCAGAACCTAAACCAAGCCTAAGATCCTTCTGAGCCTGGGGACCCAGTATGACTGCTCTAGTTACAAGCCCATGAAGCTGATTGGCCCTGGTCGCTGGGTTTGAGGGGAGCCTCCCACAGTGGGACTTGAACAACTCCAATGCCCTTTGGCATCACTGAACCCAAAGCTTGGAAATCAGTGCAGACAGTGAGTGGCAGAGAAGAGCATCTCTGCCCTCGGCTTCTGGTCAATGGTGTTGGTACCAGGGAGCTGTCCCTAAGTGGGTGGGCAGATAGGCAGCCTGGGCAAAGGTCTTGTTTCTTGAAGCCCCAGCTACCCACCTCAGGGGGTTCCCTGAGGCCTAAGGGAAAAGATTTGGCGACTGACTGGCATTAGCTCAGCCATGACTCAGCACCTCCTGTGGGACCTTATATCTGACAAAGGACTTCCTGCAAAGCACCTGTCAGTCCAGTCAGCCCATGTACTAATGATGATAACAGGGAGAACTCTTCTCTGGGCTTCTCCTACGTATCAGACCACGTTATCTCATTGGAACTCTTGAGGCAACCACTCCTCCAATCACTGCCACTCGGTTTAGTTCAATTTTATGTATGCGTGTTTGGGACAGCAGGCAGTCTTAAAATTCATTCTTTTACTTATCTATTTTAAAATATTTGTTTGGCTGTATTAGGTCTTAGTTGCAGCATGTGGGATCTTAGGCAAAGACTCTAGTTGCGGCACGCAGGTTCAGGAGTTTCGTATTAAGGCTTAGTTGCTCTGCTGCATGTGGGATCTTGGTTCTCCAACCAGGGATTGAACCCACGTCCTCTGCAGTGGAAGCTCAGTCTCAATCACTGGACTACCAGCGAAGTCCCAAGATTCATCCTTTTAAATTTGATTTTGCATGACTCAATTATTCATTCTCATAAAAAATTTAAATGGTACAGATACATAGCACAAATGAGCTTTCCCATCCCTCTGTCATTCTAGTGTATAAACCTTCCCTCTTTTGGATGTATTTACATGCCTAAACAGAAATGTGTAGAAAGATAACATTTGTTTGTTTGTTTTTTAAAGAATGTTATTTAGCTGCACAGGGTCTTAGTTACAAAATGTGGGATCTAGTTCCCTGACTAGGGATCGAACCTGGGCCCTCTGCACTGGGAGGGTGGAGTCTTAGCCACTGGACCACCAAGAAGCCCCAAAGATAATGTTTTGTAGTTAAAAAAATAAAACAGAAAAAATTTTAGATATAAAAAAATAAAAGGGATTGTTGACTAAAAAAATTAAACAATGGCCAGTCTAAGAAAGAAATGGAAAATTTTATTCCAGTCAACCTGAGCTCTGAGAACTGTTCTGAAGAGATGAGGGTGTGATTTTGAGAAAAGGTTACAGGTTACAGGCTTCCTACATGGCACTAGTGGTAAAGAACTCACCTGCCAATGCAGGAGACATAAGAGAAGCAGGTTCAATCCCTGGGTTGGGATCCCCTGGAGGAGGGCATGGCAAGCCACTCCAGTATTCTTGCCTGGAGAATCCCACGGACAGAGGAGCCGGATGGGCTACAGTACATGGGGTCAAAAAGGGTCAGACACAACTGAAGGGACTTAGCACACACGCACAGGCAATGAAGCACACTTCTTGGGAGAAAGTTACTGTTATTCGTGAGGAAAAAATTTTAGTTAATGGTTTTAGTGCATTTCCAAGTATGGGAAGATACAAGAAACTGGGTTCATAAAAATTTCTCCTGAAAATATCTACCTGAGGGCCATTTCTGCCAGTTTTCCTAGAGCACAAAGTGCCTCATCCCGATCTTCACCATTTCAGGTGTGTTGTAAATCAGTGACTATTGTGACTAATGACTCAATTGCTATAGAACTGGATGGTCGGCAACATTCTTTATTTTACAGTTTCTTCCCTTTTGATCTCAACTTTAACCAAAGTTCGGGAGGCACTTCGTGAATAGTTTGTCCCCTGGTACTAGGAATGCTTATTCTCAGGTCAGAATTTCATCGATAGGCCATTCAATGCACCATTACTGGACGAGGCCCTATTGGTGTTGTTCAGTCGCCCAGTCATGTCCAACTCTTTGTGACCCCACGGATTGTAGCACGCCAGGCCTCCCAGTCCTTCACCATCTCCCAAAGTTTGCCCAAGTTCATGTCCATTCCATCGGTGATGCCATCCAACCATCTCATCCTCAGACGCCCTCTTCTCCTTCTGCTCTCAATCTTTCCCAGCTTCAGGGACTTTTCCAATGAGCTGGCTGTTCCCATCAAGTAACCGAAATACTGGAGTTTCAGCTTTGGCATCCAGTCCTTCCAATGAGTATTCAGGGTTGATTTCCCTTAGGATTAACTAGTTTGATCTCCTTGCTGTTCAAGGGACTCTTAGGAGTCTTCTCCAGCACCACAGTTTGAAGGCATCCATTCTTTGGCGCTCTGCCTTCTTTACAGTCCAGCGTGCACAACTGCATGTGAACACAGGGAAAACCATAGCCTTGACTATATGGACCTTTGTTTGGCTACTCTTAACAGGGCCCTTTGTGGGCTGACAAAGGGCCCTGTTAAGAATAGCAATAAGCTTCTGGACCACCTGTCATACCGTTGGTCATGGTCAGGGAAATGGCTCTCGCTTGCTGCTTCTTCCCATATCTAGACATACACTATTACAATCACTGATCTCATAGAATCATCTATAAGGTCAATTGTTTCAAGTTGTTTAATTGTCATTAATTTTATCTGAGGCTCAGTCACACATCTGGTAATGCAAGAAACCTCAAGCTGTTTAATTGTCATTAATTTTATCCGAGGCTCAGTCACAGGTCTGGTAATGCAAGAAACCTCAATCTCATAAAATAGGCAGAATACAAGTAATATATCTAGTAACATTAATAAGGTGCAGCCCAATACCGCCCTAAGATATTAACATCCTGA